GTCCCAGGCACAGTTTGATGTCTTAGTTGACAAGATCAATAGGCTTGAAGGAGCCAGGGATAAAGTCGCTAATGCCGCTACCCCACTCATCCAAGCCATGTTCTTCAATAACACCGGTCCGAGTACACTTGACGCTTCCGAGATCTTTGACAAGCTAAGAGTCGCTCTGGATACTTACTTCAAGAATATCAGGGAGGCTGGGAGTATGGGAGCAAGCATGGCATTAGCCATGACCAAATCTTTATACCCCAAAATCGATACCGACGCCATTGATGGGTTTGCAGACGGGACGAGCGAAGAAACAGCCCTCGACCTCATCAATGATGCGCAAAAAGCTGCTGACAAGATTGCTGCTGACGTAGTTGAGAGATTCCAAGATGCCGACCTTCGGCCGACTGGGTCTGATAATTCCGATGATGAAAGAACTGACACTGATTAGTAACAGTGATTCTGATGATGATGGAAGATCAATTTGTACAATACTGATGAATTTATGTTGTGCTAGACAATTCTAACTTAGCCTCTGATTTCTTAAAAGTGTTTGTCAAACCTTATTGAGCCTAGAACTCGCAAAAGTTATTAAAAAACTTTCAGTCCTCATTGACTAAGCCAAAAAATCAAGCAGGGCAATGATAAATCAAGTAAGCAAATTGAATTGATAAAAATCATGTTCCATTATTATTATAGCATCCCCCCGACTGAAAGCTTCAAGGAAAAAACTTGAAGTTAGTAGTCAAAGAGGAAAGATACAAACGAAATGCCTAAGCATAAAATCGACGAAGGTGTTCAATATTCCAAGAATTATTGACAAGAGTACCATCTTCACGCTTGAGTCGGTAAGATCCTGGCCGAGTGACTTCAGCTATTACGAACGGTCCTTCCCACAAGGCAGATAACTTGTGCCGATCCTGTGTAGTTTGAATTCTCCTCAGAACCAGGTCGCCGACTAAAAGGGCTCGCGATCGAACATTCCGATTATGATAACGGCGCAACCCTTGTAAATTCCGAGCCGACTGGATTAGGGCTGTTTCACGGGCTTCTTCCAGTCGGTTGATATCATCCACTCGATCTTCTTCATAGCGCTCCTCCCGGAAGTTGCGAAATCGGAGGGATTCAAACTCTACCTCACTTGGCAGCATTGCTTCTGCGCCATAAACCAAGAAGAACGGCGACTGGCCAGTAGCCCAACTGGGAGTGGTGCGTAAAGACCAAAGTACGGACGGCAGCTGTTCTGCCCACTTGCCAGCATAGGGACGCAGTCGGTCGAAAACTCGTGCTTTGATCCCTTGAAATATCATGCCATTAGCGCACTCGACTTGTCCGTTACTCATGGGGTGTGCCACGGAGGCGTAATAAATTCTAATGCCAAAGTCTTCACAAAAGTCTTTAAATACTCCGCCGGTAAATTGAGTGCCGTTATCAGTAATAATATGATTCGGTACCCCAAACCGATGTACAATATTGATGAAGAAATCTCTAGCTTTGTCCGCAGTGATTTTGATGACTGGTTTGGCTTCAATCCACTTGGAAAACTTATCCACAGCTACAAAGAGATGAGTATAACCACCGACTGCCTTTTTGAATGGACCGACCATATCAAGACCCCAAACCGTGAACGGCCAAGACAGCGGGATGGTTTGCAACTCCTGAGCTGGTAAGTGAGCTTGTCGGGCAAAGAACTGACAACCCTCACATGTTCGCACAATTTTGTCGGCGTCGGAAACAGCTGTGGGCCAGAAGAAACCCTGCCGATAAGCTTTGCCGACAATGGTTCGTGCAGCAGCATGATTACCACAGATGCCTGAATGAATATCTTTTAGCAATTGTCTTCCCTCTTCCAAAGATACGCAGCGCTGCAGAATTCCTGATGGGCTTTTCTTGTACAACTCGGTCTCGTGAATGACGTAGAGTCTGCTGCGCCTGGAAATCTGCTCGGCTTCATTTTTGTCTTGAGGGAGTTCTTGTTTGGTCAAAAATCTTATGAGAGGTTCTCTCCAGTCGGTTTCAATCATGCTTACGCCTTGAGTATCCATGGCTTCAATTGTTTCTTTTCTGGGCACGGTTGGTTCGTAAAGATGTTCGACGAACACATCTGAAGGAGCTGTTTCCCGTTTTGAGCCAAAATTGGCCAGTCTGTCTGCTGCCTCATTATTGTGTCGGAGGACATGGGTGAGCTCGAGTCCATCGAATTTATCTTCCAACTTGTGTACCTCTTGTCGATAAGCGGTCATATTATCATCAAGACAGGACCACTCTTTCATGACTTGATTAACAACCAACTGAGAGTCTCCACGGAAGATTAGTCGGCGAATGCCTAGAGAGATTGCAATCCTTAATCCATGGAGCAGCGCCTCGTATTCCGCCACGTTATGGGACACAGGAAAATGTATCCACAATACGTAGCTCAATCTTTCTCCGGTCGGGGAAATTAAAACAACCCCAGCTCCAGTGCCTGTAAGCCTCTTCGACCTATCAAAATGCATAGTCCAATATTCCATCTTTTCCTCCGGCATGTCTTCTTGGCACTCGGTCCACTCGGTGAGGAAATCAGATAAAGCTTGTGACTTGATCGAAGTTCGTGGCTTGAAAGATATGTCCAAAGACATCAATTCTAAGGCCCACTTCGCAATCCATCCGTTTGCTTCGCGGTTATGAAGTATATCCCCGTGTGGAAACGATGTGACCACCGTGACCGAGTGACTTTGAAAGTAGTGAGATAATTTCCTGACGGTAATTAAGACACCATATAATAACTTTTGAACCTGAGGATATCTTGTCTTAGAGTCGGCCAAAACCTCGCTAACGAAATAAATTGGTCATTGAACTTTTTGAATATGGCCTTCCTCTTCACGCTCGACAACCAGGGCCGTGCTCACAACTTGGGAGGTCGCCGACACATATAACAGTAGCGGCTCCTGTGGATGTGGCGAGGCCAAAACTGGTGGAGTAGTGAGAAGTTTCTTGAAGTCTTCTAAGGCTTTTTGTGCTTCGGGTCCCCACTGGAAATTGTCGGTTTTCTTCAGCAGCTTGAAAAAGGGCATCCCCCACTCGCCGAGTCGTGAGACGAACCGGCTGAGCGCCGCCATGCAACCAGTCAGCTTTTAGACATCTTTCTGGGAGCTCGGCGGTTTCATGTTGAGGATGGCGTTGATTTTCTCCGGGTTGGCCTGTATGCCTCTACGAGACACCATAAATCCGAGCAGCTTCCCTGACAGTACTCCGAAGATGCACTTTTCAGGGTTTAGTTTCATCCTGAAGGCGCGGATGTTCGCAAAAGTTTCTTCTATGTCCGCAATCAGATCATCCTTCTTCTTGGTCTTGACGACTACATCATCAACATAAGCTTCAACATTGCGGCCGATCTGAGTTGAAAAACACCTCTAAATCATCCGTTGGTAGGTTGCTCCTGCGTTCTTCAATCCAAAGGGCATGGTGATGTAGCAGTAGGCCCCAAAAGGCGTAATAAATGAGGTCTTCAAGCAGTCGGATTCTTTTAGTCGGATCTGATGATATCCCGAGTAAGAATCCAAAAAACTGAGTAGCTCGCATCCGGCCGTTGAGTTAACTACCTGGTCAATGCGAGGTAACCCAAAAGGATCTTTGGGACAAGACTTGTTGAGGTCGGTATAATCGACACACATGCGCCATTGCCCCGTCTTTTTCCGAACCAAGACTGGGTTAGCCAGCCAGTCGGGATGAAGGACTTCTTTAATGAAGCCCGCTGCTAACAGCTTGGTTAATTCCTCCTTGATCGCATCCTTCCTGTCTTGTGCAAAACGGCGGAGTCGTTGCTTGAAGGGTTTGGCGTCTTCCTTAACATGTAAAGAGTGCTCGATCACCTCTCTAGGAATACCAGGCATATCAGATGGTTTCCATGCAAAGATATCTTTATTATTTTGAAGAAAGGTGATGAGCGCGCTTTCCTATTTACAATCTAACTCAGCGCCTATTACAGCAGTCTTAGTAGGATCAGAGGGATCTAGTGGAATCTTCTTAGTTTTGTCGTCGCCTTCTTCGGTCTTTGACAGCTTGGTCGCAGGCACTTCTCCTTCGCTTGCCATGGTCGCAGCCAGTCGGATGTCTTTGCGAGCGAGAGTGATCTCGCGGGTCTGGGCCATCTCGCAACTTTCTTTGTCACATGTGACGGCTTGCTTGATGTCGCTCCGTAGTGATATGACACCTCGAGGACCAGGCATCTTCATCATCATGTAGGTGTAGTGTGGAACGGTCATGAATTTGGCTAGAGCTTTGCTTGTAGTGTGTATAGAAAGTGAGGATGAGAGCTCCTTTTATAGCCTCCCAATGACGGTTATGGCAGTTGGAATGGTCGGAAATGCCCTCTAACCGTCATTGGAGCAATCTTGGACGTCCACGCCAAACCCTGCATCCAACGGAGCAAATGGGGGTTCGGCTGAGCCATGGGCTGGTCCAATCCAGCCCATTTTCGAATGGCGGCCTCCTAGACTTCTACTCTTTGCAGACTTGTGAATTTTGGCCCAATTGATCGTGAAAATTCTAAGTTCTTGGCCCATTCATTGATAAGTATATCCTTGACATCGTCCGATTGATTTATCGTCTGATTCGATGTCGATTCTCCTCCACTTTATGGTTATTCTCTGTAAAAGGTTAGTAAACCTAATACTAGTGGAATATTATTATTCTAACATGAATATGCATTGCAAGCATAACTAGTTCTCCTCTATTTTGGTAATATTGACGGTTGAAACTAATCGCTTACGACCGTCAACAATGAGTCAGCTACGGTCTTCAACATAGGTAAATTTGGGATGCAAGTTACGGGGTTCAAGTTTCGTGACTTAAAATATGCATGCAACTCAATTTCACGAAGGCTAGCAGCAACCTTATCACATTCTACAAGGAGCTCCGAAAGACCAAGTTTCCTATGAAATCTTTTCTTGAAGACGTTATTCATACTTTCGCAACTTTGAGTCGAGGTCATATCAGTTGTAAAAGAGTCACGGAACACAATAGCCCACTTCTTCCTCAAAGCATACAGATTTGACATCCATACGTTATCCTCAAACTTGTATTCACTCAACAATTCATGCTACATCTTGTTGAAATGATACTCTGATCTGTCCTGATAGACACATCTCTTAAAATCAGTTAGAAACTTGTTAGGATGCTTATGAATTACATGACCAAGATTTTTACAACCATTTAGATAAATGTGCCACAAACAAAGACAATGACTTATATCCGGGAGTACAAAAGCAATTGCTGCTGCAATGGCTGCGTCTTGATCAGTGAAAATTGTGCTCGGATGCTTGCCTGACATTGCTATTAGAAAGGTTTCAAAGAGCCAAACAAATGATTCAATAGTTAGTGTGGATAATATAAGGTAAAGGAAGTTTATAACAAAGGGAAATTTCAGTCTATATTGTAGCTTACCTTGCATCCCAAATCTGCATTGTTCTTTTCAAAGTTTCTGTGTTTCTTGATTTTGGGCGTAGAGTGTCTGTTGCACCAATTTCAGTTATGACACCCATAATATCTGGTTAAAGAGAAGATATATGTAAACAATAAACCACTAATGTATAAGAAGTAAACGTAGGAAGACAAAAAAGGGATAAAGAGGTTATACCAACATAGAAAGCATTTCTGTCCACAAGAGACGGGGCGTCTTGAAAAGGTGTCAATGAAAAAGTTATGGCAGGAAAATCATCAAAAGCATCAATGCATTCTTCTAAGGTTGTCCATTTAGTGAATGAGATCATCAAAGGGTTCGTAACTGGCCTATATGTTCTGTTTGCATATCTGACAGAGAAGGAGTCAAAGTAGTAAACCTTCCCTTCCTGTAGAAGAGTCCTAAGCTTAATCATGGCAGGTGGATAGATTTGAACATGGATGCTATTGCCCTGCATATTGTGTATATAAAGCACCTTGTTAGTACCATGTTTGTATGTAAGTATTAATAAAGAAGAAATGAGTGTTAATTAGACTATAACCTTTTCATCCAGCAAGACAAGATCAGTGTGGTAGATCTTTGTTTCATCATTCAGATCATGGTAGTCCCATTGCCTAGATACCCTCGCTTTGATCCGTTTATCAGTGTCCCCATACATAAGGTCTGAAATAAGCACGTACGCCATTGGAAGGCTGCAAATAAATATTGAAGATATTTAGTTTATGTAAATATGAAGCATCACTGTAATGAACTAAGCAAGTGAGAAAACAGCACATAGAAATCTAGTAGCCTATTGGTGCAGCAGTGATACAGCATATACTACATGTGAGTACAATATATTTACTCCAAAATTTATATACAAAAGCCATTGCAATTAGCTGAGGAGGGAAAGCTACGCATGGAGCGGCCAAGCCTGCAATAGGAAATGATGCCCAATGTGACACCAAGAATGTAGGTAAATATAGAGATAAAATATATGCAATATGGCAGTGAGGGCACACCGCTTCCATTGTAGCAGAAAGTATCTCGGTATAAACAACATTTCTTGTTTGGTTTCCACATGATCCGTCATCGTTTTCAATCAGTATTTTGAGCCCTGTTCGGCTTGTTGCTCTTGAAATAGCAACATAGAGCTGCCCATGCGTGAAAACAGGTTTCTTGAGGTATATGCCAACTTGCTCAAGTGTTTGTCCTTGGCTCTTGTTGATAGTCATTACATAACAAACTCGAACTGGGAATTGCCTTCTTTGTAATGTAAAAGGCCATTTCATTTTTGACGTGCTTAATGTGATTCTTGGTATATAAACTGTTTCACCGATGATTGATCTAGTTAGTATTGTACATTGTAAAATTCTTTCCCCTAAAGCAGTGACTAATAATCTTGTTCCATTACAAAGGCCTATCGATTGGTTCAAATTTCGCAGAAGCATAACAACAACACCTTCCTTTAAAACAAGTTTGTGTGTAGGAAAGTTAGTTGCATTAATTGAATTAAGAAATTCAGGTGGGTATAACAGGTCGAAATCTGGAATTTGCTCTGAGCATTTTGAGATTGTATCACAGCTAAGATATATTCTTGATTCTCCTGGGAGTAAATCAATAGTATAATTGTTTATTTCATCAACTACTGCATTCGCAGGGCAAACAATGGCACGAGAAGATAGATATGTAGGGTTTTTATATGATGCAAGAAAGTCTGGATACACTTCGTTGACAATAGCAACGATTTTGTCACCATCTGTTACAACAAGAAGATCATCGGGAATTATAATCCATGAGGGTTGAGCTTCACCTTCTTTTGCAATCATAGGCAATGTTCCGTTACCAACAGCTAGAACCCATGTACTGAATTCATGCAATTCAATTATTGTGTTTTCTGGTAGGGTTGGATTTAACAGTCTCATGTTTATATTCATGGATAACAACGTCACATGTTTCCATAGGTCTAAATTTGTAATTGATGCATTAATAACAGCGAGGCGTGAACCTTTAGGAACAACAGGTAAGATTTGTCTAAAGTCACCACCCAAAACAACAGGTTTTCCTCCAAAAGGTATGATTGAATTTGTAGGACAAGTTTCAGAAAGAATGTTACGTAATGTGCGATCCAATGCTTCAAAACAGTGCCTACGTGTCATCGGAGCCTCATCCCATATAATAAGTGCACTTTCAATGAGGAGGTCAGGCAACATAGTTCCTCGTTTTATATTGCAAATGCTAGTTTCATCAATGTCAATTGGAATTTTAAATCGGGAGTGAGCTGTTCTACCTCTAGGTAGTAGGAGAGATGCTACACCTGATGAGGCAACAGCGAGCACAATCTTATTTTGTGATCTAAGTTTTGCAATCATAGCGTTCCATAGAAATGTTTTCCTAGTCCCACCATGTCCACTCACAAAGAAAAATCCAGGTTTGTTTGCACTGATTGAGGAGGTTATGGTGTCAAAAATCTTTTTCTGGTCGATATTTAGCTGTGCTATTAAAGAATCTGCGCGCAAGGACATCATAAGGGGATCAGGTGCAAGCTCCTCGTCAATCAATCTATTACTACCAGGAATGTGTGAAGCAGATGTTGGAATCGGCAAATCAAAATCTTTTATATTACCACCATTGTTTGCAAAAACAATTGTAAGCTCATGCAGGAGGAGACTAAGCAAGTGCTCATGTGGAATAATGCATCGTGGATTATCTAATGCATTCTTTAATCTACTATGGATGTCATCAGTCATATAAAGCCAATACTTATCAAATAATGATCGCACATTACTAACAGAGCAATAAAGAATAACGGTCACAAATAGTTGTCTAAGTTGTCGCGAAGATGCAGATAGTATGGCCTCATCAAATAGAAGGTATCATTCATTATCTCCTTCAAGAAGACCTCTCGCCTCACATGCTTCTCTGAATGTGTTATAAACAATGCCATTGTATGTGCGTACATCAGCATAATTCTGTGTGCCTTTAACTATCATCAAGAGCATTCTGAGGTAATAGAGTTCGCCACAGGTTGGGTGCACATAATAGATTCGACCTATTTTTGCAGTTGGTGTTCGCTCGCGCCATGTTCTAGATGATGATTCCCATGACCATTCCTTTGGAAACTCACAATATGTTAACAACCGTGCCTTAGAATATTTTCTATTAGCTTCGAACCATTCAGTCAGCATTGATCGTTTCGCAGCAGGGCTATCGAGCACCGCCCGCAAATCTGAACATTTCTCATATCTAACATAATTTTTGCCAGCTAAATGGACTGTTAGACGCTCAACAGGTGGCACTCTATAATGTATGTCAAATTCAAATATGCGATGAAGTGCCTCACACGTGGAAAGAAATCTAGCATCCATGTATTCTAATATCTCATCCGAGGAGCTAGATCATGATTTAGTGACATATTTCCTGTCTTAGAAGTAGTCTCAAAGTATATCTTTGCATGATCATGCCCTTTTGTAATGTATTTGAATAAATATTTAATCAGATTTGACTTGTTACACCACTCAACATTAATGTGTGCTTCGTATTTTTTAAGCAATTCAAGATTGTATGGCACGACTGATCTGTTGTCCAATGCAATTCCATTTTTAATTATGCATCGTTGATTGTTTCGTCGTCTGTATATTGTAAAACCAGATTCATCAATAATAGTTTCATCCTGGAAGTCCTTAGGATAATGTTTTCAACATTTGCCATTTTTCATGCAAGGGCAATTTTTGTTTGCGTCGCCACAAGGACCATGCATCATGAACTCACTAACCAATTCATATCCTAGACGATCTGTGTCATAGTCAGGTATCTCAGCACAGATGAAGCCATCTATTACAGATGCTGACACATCAGCAGTGGATGCTGCAAGCCAAACTAAGCAGTGGATATGTGGCAGCCCACGCTTCTGGAACTCGACAGTATACAGCACTAAGAAGGTTTAAGCCAATGAAAAGGTATGAGAAATATATAGGGGAAAAACTATATGGAAAAGAAAGTATATGTGCTACCTGCAAGGACTTTTCCGAATGTTCTGCCTTCTCTAATATCAGTGATAAAATCATTTACTTTCTCTAATATCAGTGATAAAATCATTTACTTTCATGTTAAATACTCGCACAATTACATCAGCTCTATCTGATGGTTGTTGGCCAGGTTCAAATCGAATAGTTTCTGCAATTTCTTGCCACTTAAAGTTACAAGTGAATGTGACAAATAAATCAGGCGAGCCATACACACGACAGATTGCCATCGCATCCTGATAATTCATCACCATATATCTTCTACCGCCGGTAAAGCTAGCAGGAAGTATCTGACGTTTGCCAACAGAATCTCCATTAGTAACACCTCTATCAATCGCATCTACGATTCCTTCTACAGTTTCAGCACGCAAATCAGCTTGATGATCTATTATGTATTGTATCCTATTAGCCTCGATAGTAGAAAAGATATCAACAACACTTTGGTCACTCAGTCAGCCATAACATGTGAAAGGATTAGGCTCATTTAGTCTATAATGGATAAGGTATCTGTAGACCTCAAGCATTGTAGCATATTTTCTACCAGTTCCATCATAATTTCTATATTTAATGCCTAGATGGAAGCCACGTTCACCATATGGAAATAGCAAAGGATACTGCAAAGCCATATATGATGGATGCAATGAAAACACTTGATGCATTCCATGATCTTTATCGTGAACAAGCACACCAAATTTATATTCTTTTGCTGAAAAATCGCCTACTATTATGCTAGCTATTTCACCACTTGTTGGTAGGTTATACTGCACATCATCTTTAGCATTGCAGCCTAATAGCGAAGAGTTATTTTTTCATTACCATGTTCAGAGAGGCGGTCTCTAGCATATCTGAAATTTTTAACAAGTTCATTATTGGTATCAAACATGCGTGTTAAGGCGCTAACAATTTCAGGGTCTGGTCTATCAGCATTGTCGCAATCATTTTCGAAAATATTTAATCGATTTTGGATTTCATTGTCAGAATCATAGATATATAGCTGCGCAAATTTAGGTGGTGCACCTCGTGATGGCAGAAGAGTACAAATTCTGTGATGCACAACACCATTGATTTTGAAAACATAAGGCGCATTCCCATTATTAATTGACTTGTCAATAGCTGCACCCATTGAGGTGAAAGCAAACATCGAATTATATGATCGAATTTGTCTCAAAAATCTTTTGGAACGTGCATCACCATTGAAATTCAATAAAGTTGCAAGCGGTTCAGGTAGAGGACATAAAGGAGGCAATTCAATTTTGCCACTTTTGCAACATAGGTTGTAAACTATTTTTCTTTTCGAGACAGCAGAGAGGGTTTTAACTCTCTCTTGATACCAAAAGATGGCACCACAAAATGGGCATTCATATGTCGGAGGTCAGTAGTACGATCGTTCTGGGTATGATGCTGTAACATACATATTTGATTATGTCAGTTTTTTTCCTTAATAAATGTAAAATGATTTGCTTTTATTAGAAAAATACAAACCCTTTAAAGATTGAATGTAATCCTTATCTGTCTGGGATGAACTACCACTGGCTTTCCTATTTGCAACTGCAGTCAATAAATATTTTAACCATATCTAAGTTATGCAGTTCTAGCAGCAGTATACTACAATAAAAAAAACACCTTTTCAGCATACCATTGCTATTTTGTGCCGGTGGCACAGGAGGCATCTTTGAGCGCAACGAACAACGTCGCTGTGTATGTAACTTTGATAATTCAGGCGTGAAATCCATAAGGGAACGTGGCCTTTTGCCTTGATCTACTCGAGCAGGTTGAGGCGATGCTACTACGGTAGTATCTATGTGCATTGCAGATGGACGTAACAAAGCGTTTGCAGCTCGTCTTTCTCGACTTGCACGTACCCTCTGAACCCTGTTTATACCCTGTTGTGACATCTGGGGAGTATATCCCAGCAACACACTTATACCAGCAATACACACACATAAAAGCAATACACTCAACGTCCTAAATTGAAGCTTTATGGTAGCACGGGAAGTTGGTTACCTGTTGTTGAGGACCTGAACTGAAGATGAGGAGAATAAAACCAAGTCTGCTTGCACCAATTCTTCCACCTATAAAAAAAAGTAAATCAATCATCAAAGATCACAACATTTAGTATGTGTCAAATTGACCAGCACACTATCGCACAGCCTAGTTAAGGAATTCAACCAACCATCAAGTCTGAAACACCTAGAGTTTGTCTAGGATAAAATGCACAAGCCACAATATGCATGCATGCTTGGCTACTTTTGCTATGAGACGTTTGAGAAACACAAAAAACCAAAATTTTGGGACAGACAAAACCTCTTTTAATCACATTGTCTCATGTTAAAATACTACTGCTGTCATTGAACAGAGAACAACTGTAATATATTAGTAGTTTGGCTCAAATAAATTTGTAAAAAAAAAATCTACTTTACACAATGGAAAGCAAAGTCTTTGAAAACTAAGGTTCCAACAATTTGCTAGGCCTTTACTTTTGAGGCAAAACTGAAACAGAGAAAACACTCTAAGCGGGGACATACATTAAGCCTGATGCATGAGAAAATGTTTCTTTACAGGGCATTGAACCTCCCTCTGGTCTGATGATTAAATTGCTATACAGCTGATTCTACTCTTTATACACTATAAGATGAAACTAAACAAAACCCTATGTATATACAGCAAATGAATGTCTCCAGAATTCATAATGGATTCAAAAGATAATCGTATGTATATACAGACAAGCAGTAGTATCATGAATGAATAGCCATATATGATGAAATTGTGGGAGCATGTTGTAGTAATAGCCTCACATTATACAGCAACCATAAATAAAATATCAAAAGCCAAACTCCAATATCAATACGCAATGTTTTAGAAGCACTGAATACTAATTGCACAATACAAAAATTAATCATGCACGAGGCATGTTTAATGTGAAGTAATCAGTATGGCACTAAAGCAAAAAACTGCAGTGACGGATACTCCTAAATATAGATATAAGAGGTGCCTTAAAATTATTTTGTGCAATAGTAAGCATGGATCTGACCTAACATCTTGCACAATTTCATAAAAAAATTGAACTAAGCTTGCAGAAAAGGCAAAAAAAAAAACATAATAGTCTAAAGGCACACTACCCATGATGCAGAACTATCAAGTCGCTTTAATAGTTTGACAACTGCAGCGCTGAAAGCTCAATGAGAAATGTCACTCCGAAGCAGCAGCAGAAAAAGAATGCTAAAGAGTTTATATATAAAAGCAAAGGCCTAATCAAAGTGCAAAGCTAGTCCATTTTTATCTGCTCGCTGACCAAATATCCTGCACTATATAATATATATATTTTTTTGTTTCAAAAGGGAAAAGATGTCTTGCAAGCAACTGTGCCACTCTCCTACTCTCCTAGCCATCATATGAACTCCATACATGTGTATGTTTTCCATCCTGCAAATCACTGGGTGTTTATTTAGATTTCAGTTTAATCTGTATAAAAGCGAGGACAGGTGAGAAGCAAAACTTTTGCTTTGAGGTCGCTGTGCACAGATTGATTAGTTGTATTTTTTTTACCAGAGAGAACCAATACTTAATAATAGAGGTTATACCTTTAAAACTTCATATGGCTAGCTTACCTTAAAAATAATTACTAACTTTTCTGAAAAAAAAAATCAGAGATAATGTGCAGAGCTGAATGAGAAATGTCACTCCGAAGCAGCAGTACAAAAAGAATGCTAAAAAGAGTTTATATATAAAAGCAAAGGCCTAATCAAAGTGCAGAGCTAGTCCATTTTTATTTGCTCGCTGACCAAATATCTTGCACTATATAAAATATTTTTTTTTTTGTTTCAAAAGGGAAAAGATGTCTTGCAAGCAACTGTGCCACTCTCCCACTCTCCTAGCCGTCACATAAACTCCATACATGTGTATGTTTTCCATCCTGCAAATCACTGGGTGTTTATTTAGATTTCAATTTAATCTGTATAAAAGCGAGGACAGGTGAGAAGCAAAACTTTTCCTTTGAGGTCGCAGTGCGCAGATTGATTAGTTGTATTTTTTTTTACCAGAGAGAACCAATGCTTAATAATAGAGGTTATACCTTTAAAACTTCATATGGCTAGCTTACCTTAAAAATAATTACTAACTTCTCCGAAAAAAAATCAGAGATAATGTGCAGAAGTTGTGCAGCCATGTAGGATTAAAACGTCAAATGCACATTTTACAAACTATCGAATGACAGTTTTAATCTTACTTTGGATAAAGGGAGGTAGAGCTAGAAGCATGAAACGTTGTGAACAACATTTAGAAAGCAGGACAAGCGAGATGTGAATAGCAAATATATTAGATGGAAAGAGGAAGTTTCACAATAATAGCTCTAAAGCAAGAAAAGATGAGTTCAGGGACAACAAAGCAAAAACCTAGCCGACTTTGATAAGAACTAAAGATGAGGTGGAGGGAAGCAACATCGTTATGGGCAGCAAGGGACAAAATATCAGGAAAGAGAAAGAGAGTACTATGCGAGAAGTGTGTGCACAAGAACCTATGCAACGGCTACAAAAGGCACTGCAGTGACCGTTATATGGCTGCAATAACATAGGAAACCGACAACACGCATGTACCAAGTGATAAGTGTCAGAAATAAGCTATTAATATAGCGACAAACAAAGCACCATAAATGCACAATATTGAAAAGAAGCAGAAAATAGTGCAAAATAGTAATCAATAAACAGAAAAGGAAATACTGAAATAGGGTATGAGAGAGATGGAAATACCTTATACGAAACAGCACCCAATGTGTTGACAACGCAGCAGAAGCAATGTAACCAAGAAGATGCCACGCAAGAAAGATACCCACAGAAGACAAAGGCCTTGACCGAGAAATAGAAGAAAGGGTAGAAAGGGACGGTCACCAATAAAGGTGACCAGAGCTGCGCAACAGAAAAAGATTGTTAGCAAACATAAACCTGAAACAGAAGGCACCACAAATACAGGGGATATTTCCATATCGTTTAAAGCATATATATACAGTAGAAAGAACCTAACCTGCTTGATTGAACCAGCAGCCCGAACATTCCTTGGCAAAATCAATCAAGAACCCTTGAAGCACCGCTTCAGCCCGTGCAAATCCGGCCCTCTACAAATCAAGCCAGAAATCAAAGAATGATTAGAAGGCCTAAAAACAGGAAAAGCGACATCGAATAGCGCTGACAACCAAACTACAATGTCGCCTACATCTTACCGTGCCATATTCAATGATCAAAAGCAACAACAAATAGATGTATCAAGTAGTACACGTGAGGACGCAAGCAGCAAAAGAGCGATGAAAACGATAGAGCGATGAAAACGATGGTGCAACTTTGAAAGGGAAGCGGAGAAAAGAAGATGGCTCCCGGCATCTGCAAAGGAATATATAATAGAGAAGAAGGCATAGACTTGTGCATCACATCTAATAGGACCAACCATACCCACCAATAGGGAAGCAGCATACATGGACCCCATGGCATTCAACCCCACCTGAAAGTGGAATAGCCTAATACATCTCGCGTAACGAAGGAAACACCCTGGACTATACACCATGAGAGGCCTCGCTAATACTACATCGGATAAGGCCCCACAATACAGCCAGGAGGAGTATATAGACCAGGTTCACCAATAGGCACCGATGCAACCGAGAAAAATTGAGCCAATCACAGCAAGCAGCTTGCCCCATCCCAAGCTGACAACCGCACTCCCCAAGCTGACAACCCTGAGCAAGCATGCACAGTTGTGCCTCATTACATAGGCATATTCCATGGTAGGTATGAAACCAACCCTAACCATATGGCCTACACGCCAGCGGCACCAAAGCCATAGACCAATTGCATCGATAATGCATTGCCCACCGTCAAACACAACGAAAATTCACAAACGCAACTGGACGACACCGCACAAACTATGACGAACAAAGGCCACACGATCTAGATCAAACGGATAGGGTGGCAAGCAACCACAAAGCCCCAAACTGACCAGGATTGCAGCCGTGGGTCGTGGCCAATGTGCGAGGACTCAGCAGCATCCACGCCGGCGGCAAACATCAACGCTTTGACCTCCTCCATCGCCGCCGAGCTGCTACTGCCGCCACCACCGAGCTCAGCATACCCGATAGCCCTGGATGTGCCACATCGAACTTCCCCATCAGTTTGGATCTGGATTAAACAGAGAGAGGGAAAGTGTGAAGAAAGAAAGGGTGGGTGAGCTGGCCCTTTCCCTGTGGAACTCACCACTGCGGAAGAACGGCCGGCGTCGACACCATTGATGAGCCTCTGCGCTAGCGCTCGCCCTCCACTCTGAGTGACCGGATCCGCCGGAAAGGAAATCGTGGCTGCCGCATCCAGCACCCACGGCCTCCCTTTCGAGTGGGCGTCGGCGGCGGCGTAGCAACGAGACCGCCAGCAGCGAGGGCGCAGCGATGACACCGTGCATCCACAACATCCCCTTGGAGCAGCGAATGGCAGGGCGCGTAGGGAGGAGTGCGAGCGGCGGCCACGGCGCTCCGAGGACAGCGGGCGGCGGCCACCGCGCTGGCAGATCCAGGCGGCGGGCAGGAGAGAGCGAGAGAGATGAGAGCGGCGTGGCGGCGGTGGTTTTTTCTTTTTTTTTCTTTCACGCGGCTGGAGACTGGGGGTTTCGGGAAGGGGAGGCAGAACGCAAGAAAGAAGGAAATTTTTCACAAAGGCCCCTGAGATTCCACGATTCAGGGGCGGTCCTTTTTCTCATTTTTTTCTCCTTCGTATCGGATTTCGTAGGATTCGAAGGGCCTAAACGAAATATTTTAAAGCCAAAAAATGTACAGCAAGAACGTATAACATAATAACTATAAAAGAGAGGGCCTTTTTGCAAAATCTACAGAGACGACGCGGCCGCACGAGAGGACGCAAAATCCAGCAGCCCACCAGCGCGCGCTGACGTGTCGCGACGCGGCAGCATCCACGCCAGCGCAAAACGCTGAGGGAAGAGCAGATCAAGGCCGGTTTGAAGACTTTAGATTTTTGTCTCCTTCGTATCGGATTTCGTAGGATTCGAAGGGCCTAAACGAAATATTTTAAAGCCGAAAAATGTACAGCAAGAACGTATAACAGAATAGGTATAAAAGAGAGGGCTTTTTTGCAAAATCTACAGCATCCACGCCACGGAAGAGCAGATCAAGGCCGGTTTGAAGACTTTAGATTTATAGGCATAATGCCCCCTCTTATTCCTACACTGTAGACGGAGGCCTGTTTTGTCCACTGCACACTTCACCATTCCATTCCATGGCGCCGCCGCTCCTCGATCTCCCCTCGCACTGCCTCCTCCCTCGCCTTCGCCGCCCCACCTCCGGCCGTCTCCTCCTTCACCTCCGCCTCAAACCTCTCTCCTCCTCCTCCTACACCACCACCACCACCACCACCACCAGTAGCTCCACCTCCTCCTCGCGAGCGCCTCAAGTTCCACCTAGTCTCCATGGCCCCTCGCTCCGCCGCGGCCGCCGCCTGCCCGGCGAAACTGACGGCCTGCTCTCCTTCGCCCGCATCTTCGATCTCGCCGCCCTCCGCGTCCCGGCCGCCGCCTGTGCGCCCCTCGAGCGTCGCCTCCGTGGCCACCTCCTCAACTGGCCTCGCGTGCGCAACGTCGTCCGCCAACCCGGCGACGACGGCGGCCTCCTCTTCCCCGTTCCCCATCCAAGCCTCGCCACTCCCTCCTCCCTGCCAACTGCGGTGGCTCGCCGAGAGAAGCTGGCCCGCGAGTTCAACGCCCGAGGCTTCGTGCAATTCCCCAACCTTGCCAAGATGTCGCGGCCCCCCGCGAGGAAACGGAAGGGGAAGAAGGATGAAGGAGGCGGCGAGGCTGCGGCTACGGCAAGGGATACTAAAGACAAAGTATATGTGGTGGAGGTGATCGGAGAGAGAAAAGAGGAGCACGGCGACGAGTGGATGGGGTTGGTCGGGGAGGAGGGGTTCGGGAGGATCACGTGGAGAGGAGGTCCCACCCGGTTGCTGCTCCTGGACGAGAACTATGCCAACAAGAGGGTTGATGACCTCCCGGAGGCTGTCAAGGTGATGAATTCTTGTCACCAAATAGCCTTTCATAGTTGCAGTTGTAGAAATAAAAATCACATAGGTTAGGAAAAGTTTCTATTTGAATGATTCTGTGGATTCAACTGTGATCAAATGAGGTTTGGGTGTGCGCTGGCCAAATTGGTTCAGCATTCTACCTTGATGATACTCACAAGAACTCACCAGACTAGACAGTATTTTCTTTCTAACTATTCTTTTCGAGACCAGATGAGGAAAATCACACTTTCAGCCTGTTTAAAATTTTAATTTACGTATTTCACTGGTTTTGACACAATATTACCTTATTTGGACCCAGAAATGGTAGCTTATTTTTTATTCTTTTTTGCAAAATTATCTTCAAGGTTTATGAAGTTATTACAAAATAGATACCAAGAGGATACATGAAGAAATGATGTATATCTTACTTTTGTAGATTTTCTCTTTCAGTGGAATCTGTTTACTAGTTTTAGTTAAGCCAACTTTTCAGGTTGTGTTGGACCATGAAACTAACAAGGATGGATCTTCATCCTACGAGCTTGTGCAATGCCAATTGACCTTGTTCTACAATTACTGGCCAATGAATGAGGTATTTTGCCACCTGTTTACAGTTGATGGTCTAAGCATCATTTTCTTTCAGTTCTCTTCATCTCTTGTTATTATTTTTGTCCAAGTATTTGCTGTTTTTTGTGCCAGTGCATTTTTTTGATTAGGTCATTATACCAACGGCTTCCTTTGTTATCTAATGCCAGTGTTGTCCTTGAGATGTTCTAGTCTCCAGTTGTATCCCTAATCCCTAATATTATAGGATACACATGGATTTAAACACAAAGAATCAGTTAGCAGAAGTGTGAGCCAACTACTATCATGAGTTGGCGATTGATTGAAAGGATCAATCATCAAAGTTGGTTTGACTATGTGCAGTAAATAGCCATTCATTTTGTGTTTTCAACCTTCTGGGCTTCTGTCTGTTGATCTGGAAGCCATAAATTATATATATGCTAAGAACAACATCTTGCTGCTGTTCAATTTGCTGAAACCGGCCAAAGTAAGAAACATTGTTACAGCTGATAAATGTAAACCATCTTAGTGCAAGTGTTGCATGTCACATGTAAAAAAAAATAGAGGTGAAAGACTTTATCCAGGAGAAAACAAAATATGAGTTGGTTCTTACAGGCAGTGTTACTTAGACTTGGCCAGACTACTTGTCTTGTTTGACATGTGTCACAAGTGGCTGATACTTAGGTGCCTAGGTCAATCTGACCAAGGTGGGTAAGATGAACCATTTTACCTCCTTACCAACTGGGCTATGCTCAGTTCCTTTGAGACACCTTTTTTTAGTTCTAATGGTATTTACCCTTGTGGCTTACCTTTTGTTCTAGAATAAAATTATCCAATTTCTGTAGATTTAAAATAATGCTTGTTTAATTTACTGTATTGTTTTCAAGTTCTTCAAAGTCTGTAGAATTCTTTCTTTTCAAGCTTCTCATTTGTGTCAGTATCTGATGCTTCTGTACTGTCCAGGTAACACTGCCTTTGCAAATACCGGATACAGACCAAAAGTTCAGTCTGTACAGGTTAGATTGAATTGTCTCAAGATCAGAGTCTGGTCCCAGTTTTCTCATAGATGATTGGTCTACTCTGTTCTTGCTTCAAAGATGTGACAACATAGAAATGCAATTGAAAACTCAGTCGTACAAATGCATTATCGAGGCACAAATATGAATTGTGGGATTACTAATTAACTTTTAGGCAGCACAAATTTCAACTCCACAGATTTTGTTTTCAATCCAAATGCTGTATAATGGTTTGATCTACCGAAATGTTTAGATATTAAACTGTATGTTCCAGGAGCATGAGGACTGTATTAGCATGTCATCACATTGTTACTTGTGGGGTCTATTAGATATGTTGATCAACATTGCTTCACATGGAAAAAAATAAATATTCTTATGCACCATGCTCGTTGTCTGTTCACTTTCTGCTGCTTAACTGTTTTGATTGAATCTTACTTTTTGTAGATTTTAGAGGAAATACTCCCAGAAGGAATAATCGTTCCTACAGGGTTTGAGACAGTAGGGCATATTGCACACTTGAACTTGAGGGATGACCATTTACCTTACAAGAAGCTTATTGCTCAGGTAATATCTAATTGCATGATAGCTTCCATTCTTGAGTATGTTTTCTTGTGCTCTAACATTTGACATGCAGGTGGTACTGGACAAAAACAAGCCAAAGATCCAAACTGTTGTCAATAAGATTGATGCTATTCAAAATGACTACAGAACAATGCAGCTTGAAGTCTTAGCTGGTATTGATTCCCTTGTAACTACGGTTATTGAAAGTGGTCTTCGGTTCCAAGTTGATCTTTCAACAGTGTATGTTCTATCCTCTCTTGGCTCATATTTGTCACACAACATTTCTGATTTATTGTGATTGCAAAATAACAAAACAAAATGATTTCATTATTTGCAGGATAAAATCCTTACCTACATATTTGTAGTTTGTGGTTGTGCTATGTCTATAAAGAATTCTATTGTTTGCACTTGAACCATAGTTTAATTGCTATCATTAACCTCTTTTCCAGTAACAAATCTTCACCAAAAGATTTCCCTAGTGTTTCTTATTCTATACATGTAATAAAGATATAGTCAAATCTCAATTCAACATTCACATTCTTAAGATGGCTTTGTAATAGAAAATTTTGAAAATTTTTAGTTGAATGTTTTGAAAAGTTCATAATAGGACTATTGCTTTTTATGAATAGGTGTATGGGAATAAATGGTCCCTCGTGTAATCCATAAGATTAGCTACTGTGCTATATGATCTCTTTTTCTCAATCTAGGGTTGCTTTTTTTTGACGAAAAAAAAATCTATGGTTGCTTATTAATTGGTGCAATGATTTGGAAGCTAAGAATTTTGTTACTGTTTGATTTTTCATTGTTTCTGAATGATGTGTATTGTTTGATTATAATAATCTTCTATGTTTCTTAACTTAATCATGAGACTAATGATCCTCCCATCCTTTAGGATAATCAATCTTATATGAATCGTGTCTATGATCTTGATTGAGTTCAAATTCTCGTTACCTTGGATGGCAATATATTGCTCTCCAATCTTGTAGGAAAAAAATATTGCAAACAAATATATCCACTACTACAGCTAGTAGTGTCTAGTCCTGTTCAATTCTTCAAAGAGCAAAACTGGGGCCAAACAATGAACTTGAAGCCCAAAAGATACACTTGGGCATTGCCCATATAGGCCAACCTTGTGTAGCAAATAATTTTTTTTCTCGAATACGCAAGAAGCTATCATTGCATTAATAGAAGAAAAAAGGCGTCGAACACGCCAAAGAACAGCAAGTAGTAGACGAACTCGCGCCACCACACAACAACCCACCGCAAGGGTGGAACCAGAACCATGCCTAGCCGGGATCCATTAATAAGGAGAGCCTCTTAGTCCCTGCCAAATTCCATAGGCGGGCTTCCTCACTTGCTAATATAAAGGTGATTGATAATCTTGGAGCTATTCCGTTGAAAACACAATCATTCCGATGTTACCAAAAATAGACCAAGCTTCAAAGATGATCTAGCTGTTCAGACCCTTGCCATCTGATGATCCGTCGTTGTGTCCCCCACCTGGATGGGAGTAGATGCCTTTTGCCTTGCGATCTGTGGTTGCCTTGTTGCTCTCAAGGCGGGTGATGGTGGCCGTATGCTCTCCCAGGGTGATCTCCATCTTTTTCAGCTGGTCGAGGATGGCTGCCAGCGCAGCGTTGCTCTGCCCATTGTTCCTTGTGTTCCCGACATGTTCACAGGCGCAGGAAGATGCTCTGATACCAAGTTGTCACGGCCCGGCTGTCAGGAGCTGGGAATTGAAATGGATGAATGGTCTCTGAGTTAACTGAATATCTGAAGTCTGAAGATTCTGAAGAAAATGCATTGGAAGGATGATTATGAGAAAAGAACGGTCAGGATTAATCGCGAATCGGAATGAAGATCTGAGAGTCCGTTCTTGTCGGGGGACCACTGTTGAATTCTAGTTGTCATTTTACTCTGCTTTTGAGCTGGCAGTAGTGCATCCTATGATGTGGTCCTGTCTCACTTTTGTTTCAATTGTAATCGCTTCTTAATCGAGCTAGTTAGCCTGGAAATTATAAGAGAAACCTCATATTTATCTTGTTTTAGGAGTAGCATAGCATAGAACCTTAAATTAGTCTTGCAGCGACCACTTGAGAAATTTCCCGATTCGGGGTTCTATTCTTCATTTCGGTGAAAGAGAGAGAGGCTCGGTCCTGGCACCGGCAATTGCCGTAGATTGTACGGATGAAACAATGGAGGCCAAAGCCTCTGGCGCCGCGGATGTCGAGGTACGATGGCGATACTCTCCTAATCATATCTCTAATCTAACAAGACTGATCCTAACAGATAAGTAACTCAATAGACACGCACAAACTCGTAACACACTCAAACTAGCTTTTGCCCTACAAGCCACCATCAATCTGCCGAACTGGATGTAGCTTCGAACTTGTTCTGCCATCGCTCATACGAAATCCCCCACCTAACAAATCAGCTGTACAACAACGATTATGAGCCACTAACCACATGAAGAAACGGCATTTTCCAGGGCCCATGACTTCCAAATGCACTCCAAAGGACCAAAATAAATGGCCCCTTCAAAGAGAGCATCATAAGTAGATTTGGCCAAGTAAACACCTGAAGTTGAGAACCTCCAAGAATGTATGCCCGGTGACCCTGGTTGTAATATCACCGAGCAAAGGGCATTCCATAAGCCAAGAAAATCCTCTAACCACAATGGAAAAAGCTCCCTGAATATCGGAGATCCACGAACGATTGGTTAAGGCCTGAAGAACAGTACGCTTGTTAACCTTCCGCTTTGGCACCAAAGCAAAATGGCGCGGCGCCACTTCCTCAATGTGCTGCCCAAACAGCCAACGATCTCTCTAAAACAGCGTATTAGCACCATTCCCAACCCCAGAGATCACTGGCTCACTGCCATGTAGAACAAGGATGTAATCCGCTCACTCGGATAGGAAACGTCGACCATGGCTTCAATGGTTCCTTTTTTGCATCCAAAGCCATCTCACCCTTTAGAGCATAACTGAGAAGCTTAAGATCGAAGATTCCAAAACACCCAAACTCTTGAGGCTGACAAACTATGGGCCAAGCAATTAAACGGTGACCACCACTTGCTTCCTTTCTTCCTCTCCAAAGAAATCCACGTCTAATTTTATCAATGGCCTTAATGGCCCAAGCCGGCAAATGAATTGTCATTGCAAGATCGATGAGAATGGAGGTGAGCACAAACTGGACCTGAAGTGCATGACCAGCTTTACTGTTCTAAATGGCGGCCACCACTAGTGTTGAAACATGATTTCGGCAATACTAAAAGGGGGTGGCTATCAAGCTGGAAAAGTGGTGGGTTTAGAGACAAGGAATTTTATACAGGTTCAGGCCTTCTTATTCAAGAAGTAATACCCTACTCCTGTCCGGGGATTGATCCGCCGAGTATATTATTGATCGTATGATCTGGGTGAAATTCGTGCCCCTAGAGGCACCCGGACCCCTCCTTATATAGGGGAAGGGGTCCGTATTACAAAATACAGTCCATATCCCTAACGGAATATGTAGTTACAGATAAAATACAATCGTAACCGACTAGGATCTCGGATATTTTCTTGACATACAAGTTTAGATTTTAACCTGAGTCCTTCTAAAGATATTCTATCTACACATGGCACCCCATACCCAGTCGGACTATACATGCCGTGTAGGTATGGGGTATCCATAATCTCCACAACTAGGTTGTTTACCTAGGAATAGATGTCACCTCCTTTCAGCCATATTTCTATCTAGGTGGCAGCCTAGTCCGATTACTTGGCCTCTACATAGTGGCTACTGCTTACTTGCTTAGCATTTTCTAGAATACTGAATAGAATTTAGAAATAATATCATGTCTTAGCCAACAATATGATAGTGTCAAAGTAAGGGTATGGAAACTGGTGGCATTCGATATTGGACCGAATGAGCCTGAATAGTTTAATTTTGAATTAGAATGTTATTGATTTCTTATAGATGTATTTATTCTGCCTGGTTACTGACTAGTAATAGGTCCGGCTACCGGTCACTGGCCGGTAAACATTATTTGGATTCAAATATTTCCAGTAAGTTCTGGTAACCAGCAATAACCAACCAACTACCAGCGTTGCAAAGGAGACCTGCATTTTTGTATTGGGTTTTAAAACCTCGGTTCAAGCGAAAACTCAATTACTTGGAGATGGAACCATAGCTTGTTAGTGTTTGAGTTTTGTCAATTTATTCTAAATTTTACTTGGAAACTATGTGTAGCAGGAATAGTAAATGGTCTCATTTATCAATTCTGCATGATAAGTGCATGCTTAAGTTTGCTTGTTCTCTTGGGTAGTGTTTGGTTGATGGGATGGGATGGGACGGGACGAACCCACTTTTAGAGGTGTTTGGTTTAGGGGTGAGTGGAATGGGTTGGTTCCTAGAGAGGAATATTCCTCTCAGATCCGGGACCAAGCCATCCGGAAAAATCTGGCGGACGAACTCATCCCACCTGGGATGAGCGCACGGCGTGAGGTGCCGCTTCGCCCCGCTCGCTCGCTCACGTCGTGCTCTGCTCCTCTGCCCATCGTGCTCGCTCGCTCGACGACAACGGCGCGCTCAAGCGATGGCCACGGCGGATCCGGTGGTGGGGAGGGCGGCGGCGGCGGCGTATCCGGAGGTGGGCTCAGGCGACGGCGGCGAATCCGGCGGTGGCGGTGGTGAAGGCGGGGAGGGCGGGGATGGCTCGGTGGCAGCGGTGAATCCGGAGGCGGGCTCGGGTGACGGCGACAGATCCAGTGGTGGGGAGGGCGGCGGCAGTGAATCCGGAGGCGGGCTCGGGCGACAGCGGTGAATCTGGCGGTGGCGGCGGCGAATCCGGAGGCGGGCTCGGGCGACGGCGACAGATCCAGTGATGGGGAGGGCGGCGGCGGCGAATCCGGAGGCGGCCTCGGGCAACGGCGGCGAATCCAGCGGTGGCGGCGGCGAATCCGAAGGCGGGGATGGCGGGGAAGGCGGCGGCGACGGCGATGGCGGGCGAGGGTGAGTTCTGCGGCCACCACGTCCATATCGTCGTTGTCTCTGATGTCAGCGCCGCTCCTTCTTCCGCCTGCGCCACTGGTCGCCGCTCCTCCTTCCGCTCACACCGCCGGTCGCCGCTCATCCTTCTGCAGCTTCGCTCCTTTTCTCGCTGGGAGTAACATGGTGCTAACGTCACTCCAAATGTCATTCATCCCATCCCTACCCATCCCTTCTACCAAACAAAAAACTGGGATCATTCCATCCAATAAACCAAACAAGTAAATGGGATCGCTCCATCTCTAAAATCAGGGATGGTATCATCCCATCCCACGTAGTCCCCAAACCAAACACTACTTGGTGTTGTTAGACGTCCTGGAGGTCAAATTTGCTTCCCTGGTGTATGTATTCCATTTGGGGCAATTGTATTCTTGTCCCTATTTTCAAGTGCAATTGTCTTTTTACCCTTTGTTTTCAGACATCGTGATTTTTCCCTCACTTTTTGAACTGAAGCTTCGGTCTACCCCAGGTCTGTTAAGTCATCCTAATGGTGTTAAGTATATGGTAAAAAGACAAGTATGCCCTTGCATATTTTCCCTTCTTTTGTACACTAGTTCTGTTTTTGCCCTTATTTTGATACCAAGCATTTTGACAAGAACTTTGCCCCAGTGCTGACTTGAATTTCACATATTTCAAATCTGATCGAGTTTTATTTGACAAACATAACAGAATTTCAATATAATTTCAGCCATCATTTGACAACTTCATAAATATTCAAGCAAAAGTCATTGAGCAACATGACTTCAATTGTTCCACTTGCAACAACAAATTCATCAGTTCTATTTTCTCTTGCATGTATAGACTCCAAATCACATGAGTAGCAACATCATTCTTCATATCAGATGACAAGTGATTAGCCAACTGGGACATGTTCAACCAAAAACTCTGTTTCTCTTCTTCCTCTGAAACAACGGCCATGAACCTTACTGTTTTTTAAGCTGCTATTTCGACAACCAGATCTGCCAACTGCCAAACAAGCTCATTCATCTAGTTTTCTGTGCAAATTTCTGTTGCTACAATCTCTGCTCTATTGTTTTCTGAAACATGTATCCCACAGGGCGACTAATTAGCCATAGAATTAAAAAATTCAATACATTATTTCAATTGGAAATTTTCTAGACAGCTCATAAATTTTAGAAACAATGAATACCCATAATTTTAGGTAGTATTTCCAGAAACATGCAGCTTCAGTTTAGGAGACCACATGGTGGTCGCATCCTGGCGGCGATATCTGCAGAGGGTCACCGCCTTATGGCCTAAACAGCGAGGGGCTCCAGCAGATGAGGCAGGGAGAAGAGGTCTCTACCTGCACGCTGAGCCGCCCCTCCTCCTGCGCGTTTAGTTGCCCCCTCGCGCTGCCGCACGGCGCTCTCATGCCTGCTTGCTGCTCCGTGCCCGCTCACCGATGAAATTAGCCCGCCGCTGCTGCTGTTGCCATGACGAGAGAGCCAGGGTTTGGTATGGAGAATGGGGTAACACACATGTAAGGGCTGTGTGGCTAATTGATGTTGTATTTGGGGGTATAACAATCCTTTTATTCTGTAAATCATTTTTCATTCCCTTTTTCTTTTCTTTAACTCCCTAATTCTTGGCACACCTAACAAACATCCAAACCAGGGGCAAACGGGAGCTTCGGTTACAAAAGTGATGGCAAAATCATAAAGTAAAAAAAGAGGGGTAAAATCACAATTGTGTTTGAAAATAGGGGAAGAACACAATTTCCCCATTCTAATTTACATTGAGTGGTTCTCAGGGATGTCAGGGACTCGTGGCTGATGTTTCAGAAAGTATTTTTGGCCACCACTATTCCTTGCAAAGCATTTTGTTCCATGTTGTTTTAGCAGTGAAACCGAGACTCTGAAAATGCAATGCTCTATGCTGCTCCCTCCATCCCAACATATAATGCACCCACAATTTTAGGAAAATCAACATTTGCAAACTTTGACTAACAGTTAAAGTGTACTAATAATATAATGTTTAGTGTCATGCATGTGACATCATTAGATTCATAAAAATATTTTTCATATGATGTTAATTTGTGTAGTTTTTGATGATATATGTATGAAATTAATGGTCAAAGTTTTACATTGAAGACACTGCAAAAAAATTATACGCCTCAATTTTTTGGGACGGAGGGAGTATTGAACTTGATCACTAAATCTGAATACATGATACTCTAGTTACATTCCTTTTGTTAGCTAGTTCTGTCTGATTTCAAGAATATATTTAGATATCTTAACATTTTCTTGAGACCACCAAATGTAACTGTTTGGCGTGTTTTTTTACACAATTTATGATTTTGTTTCCGATTCTCAATAATGAATGGCTAACAACTTTCTTATGCAGTTATTGGAATTCTAGATTATCAACAGAAAGACAGAGGCTTGTTGACCATGTTTTCAAAAATTCTGATGTTGTTTGTAAGTTCTAGCCCTGCTTTTTATTATAACAGAGGTTTTTGTGGCCTGTGGAATCAGGATGACAGTCTACATTGTTTTGTAACTTTGTTCCCTTTCAAGATATCGATCTTTTCTATTTAGAGCAATTTACACTGTGTTTGCAGAAAAGATAAACACATAGTCATGTGCCACTACTTGTGCAAACATGTGTACTATTTACTTTTGGTATTGACCCTGATACCTCCTCAGGGGCAGCGGCAATTTTTAGAAAGTATACATAGCAATGCACCATAGGTTGGGCAAGTATTTGTTCGCTGTTTAGTGTTGAAATATTGTGTCTTGCAGTGTTTCTGCATTGGTATTGTATTGTTCTGGTAGCTTGTATAAACATGACAGCAAAAGATTGACTGCCATTTTATTCCTGCAGTTCTCTTCCTATTCACATGAAAAGCATTTGCTGTCTTCATTATGAACATATATTAAATATGATAATCAGTGTCCATGCATGTTCTTCATCATGCTCAGCTTTTGTGGACAACCAAATGGTCCATGTAGAAGAAAATAATGTAATCATCATTTACGGGGTGTGTTCTGATGATCACATAAATCAGTATTTGTGTATATGTACTGAATAATCGTATTTTACAACTCCTGTAATGTAATATGGTCGAGCATCTGGGTCGAGTATGTTTTATGATGTATGCACCCCTGGTTCTGGAGTAGTTCACAGTAACTATTACATTTTTAATTTCATCTTCTCTTAAGCTTCACAATATTTACTTGATTATAACCTTTTCCGTAGTGAGTGAAAGATCAATTGCTACCACATCCTTTATGCAGGTGATGTGTTCTCTGGTGTTGGTCCAATAGCAATATCAGCTGCAAGAAAGGTCAAATATGTCTATGCGAATGACCTAAACCCCACTGCAGTGGAGTACCTTGAGAGAAACATTGTTCTTAACAAGCTCGAGAGAAAAATCGAGGTAGTTCCAACTATGAGATAAGCGAGATAGCACTCATGTCTTTCTATTTATTAATAAATTTCCTGTGATGGCTTTCAGATTTTATTGTAGCTTACATAAAGTTCATTGTTAGCAACCTAGCATCAAAGCTTACCGCTGTCTCAGAAAAGCATTTGGTTGGAAATCCTTTTTGCACCACTAGAAATTAGAAAATACACCATTTTAGTGCTTATGTTCGTTTGTTAATGACTTGTTTCAAGTGTATCTAATGGTTTAGTGTGGATTTTTTTCTCCGTCTTTATGGCTCTTGTTGATATTTGTTCATTGTTTTGTCGAACCAGGTTTTTAACATGGACGCTAGAAGGTTTATCAGTTCAATATACTCAAGCCAACATGTGCATCCAGTCACACAAGTAGTAATGAATTTGCCCAATGATGCTGCAGAATTTTTAGGTGGGTTTTCATTATTTGTGTTACTTAATTGAACTGTTATCTTGAGTTCTTATGATTATATTAGAGAACAAATTTCATTCTAGTATGGTATTGGCTTAATTCACTCATTCGCCCGTTGTGAAACATCCACTAAAATTCTGTTGAATTTTGGGGATGTATATTACAAAGGATATGCACGGTTTCATGTCGGGTTCTCTCCTCTCACTTTTTTACTATAGAAGAGTAAGAACACACAATGCCTTTTGGATTGTGATCAGCTGAAATGTAGTAATTTGTAACCTGCATCTTATAACATTGATTATATGGCATTACACATTGCAGATTTACAGAATACACATCAAATGTGAATACGCATCGAATGTTTGGGAGAAAAATTGTTTGGGAGAAAATCTTTCTTCTACAAAATGGCATTACCAATATAGAAACTAAATAGGGGAAGAAAGTCTATGAGTGGTAGGGACTAGGGACTAGGGAGTATATTGATGAGAGTGGAGGAGAGGGTGGGAACTAAATGAGACGGGCGTTTGGGACATTTACCAGTCTTATTATTTTCTTCTTCTCTTACACCATGTGCTGTCGCCCCGCGGCAAGGCAGCACGTGTTATACTTGGCCGGTCTTGCCTCCCGGCTTGGCGACAACATCCACGAACTAGTTAATCGATTCGCAATGATGACTAACGAGCTAGCTAACTAAATCAAATCTAGCTAATTGACTAGCTAGCTGCTGCTATGCATGCAACCAAGCATTGGCTGCTGCTCGGTTAGGGACATCAGGCGGTCGGTCTTACCTGGCCATATGGTGACACCGTCTGCTGCCGAGCGGCAACAGCAGTGTCGTCATGCCACCTGGCAAATCAGGTATATTCTATTATTTTTAAAAAAAATAGTATATTTATGCAAAAAAAGGGTGAACATTGAAATTTAGTTCTAACCTTACCTGTCCATTCTAATGGCCAATATGCAGCCGATGTTTTTTGGATGGGAATTTTGACAGTTAGGCTAATCACAGGACCAATTAATTATTTTATGATTTCACTGTTTCCCCAGATGTGTTCAGAGGAATCTCATGGAACCACCATTTGGCTGTGCCTTCTTGTGTAATGCCAAATATACACGTGTATGGATTCTCCAAAGCAGAAGATCCTGAATATGACTTCCATGAGGTAAGCAGCGAGTATTACCAAAATTTTTTTTCTTTAAGTTAGAACTGTTGTATACATAGTTCTGTTTATCGATTGACACACACCCCTTGAATTGCAGAGGATAAATTTGACGCTGGGTGAGAACGTGTCCGATGTTGAAATGCATAGAGTGCGGCTCGTTGCTCCTGGAAAATGGATGCTTTGTGCATCATTTACCCTTCCAGTATCTGTGGCGTTTGCAAAGCCAAATTACATTGCATGTTAAGAGGACGGCCTATAACAAATTAACCATCTTGTATATTCTTTAGTGGGTGAATGAAAATGACAGTAGTGTTTATGCATCAGCTGAAGTTAGAATTGATCGTCTTGGCCTACTACATGCATGATGATACATCATTCGTGATCATCATATATCTAAATTGAAGGTCGTTCGTTTGTAGAAATTGCTTCAATAATCCAAAAGGATTTTACGATGAGAAAGTATAAAAAAAAAGCTATGGGTGAAGCGCCAGGGACATTTAACTATTTGTCATCTATGTGTTAATGACATATAGATCCGAGTGGTAAATTAATTGAAGAGTGTCAAATAGTTAATTTTTTCCATTTGCCCCATACACAGTAGTGGATGAGTTGGCTCCTCTGTTCCGATGGAATAGCTAAAATTATCAAGAACCTACTGGTGCCTCTCTCTCTCTCTAGATAGTTCTTTTTTCTCCTTGGGCAGTGGCCTATCTAGCATTTAGCATTTAGATGGTCTAACTTACATAATTTTTTATTTTTGTTAAAGTGAGATAATATACAGTTAGTTCATCATGACATAAGGATATGATTTGCTAATTGTTACCCTTGCAAACAAATGTATTTTTTCTCTTCCTAAGAATAGTTTTTCTTTCTTTTTAACACATGTATCTTTGGCTACGTATTTCTAGGTGATCCTGGAACCACCCACAAGCTTGGAATAATATGGTTGCAAATTTTATGTATATATTAAATGTGGTCTGTCGTTGGGGCATGTGTAAATTTTATATAGCCATTGTTTCTTAAGAGTAAAATAAGACACCAGTTATTAAAATTCTGTGTGGAATATCATTGTGGTTATTAAGCTTTGAAAATACATAGTATATTAAGACCAAATTAATTTGCTAAATATATCGTTGCAGGTCTAAAATCTAATACATCAGATCTTTAATGCTAACAGCCGGATATAAAGAAAGTAGATAAAACTAATTGAGGAAACGGATGTTGTGATTAATTGAAAAGTAGATGTAGGTGGAAAAAATTGAATGGTGAAAGTTTGTGATTGACCGAGAAGAGAATAATGGTGGAGTTATTATGTTTTATGACAAATTTTAAATATTAGAAGTTGCTATATTTTAAGAAGTACCACTCAACGATACATTTAGGAGCGTCAAGATAGACATTGTATTATAAGCTCCTCAACCAACCAATGTAAAAGTTCGAATTAAAGGCTTCTTCACATTGCTACCACTTTTAAGTTTTAACCCTAATAATTTTTGTTCTGTAAGTATGAATTAAGAGCTCTTCACCTTGCTTCCACTTTTAAGTTTTAATGCTAATAATTTTTGGTGTTATCGATAACAAACTAAACATAATATTGTATCATCACTCTACCAAAATTTGACATTTCAAAAGTTTCTTCTCACATAAATACTAGTAATTTTTTTTGGCACGAATACTGTAATTTTTGATAATGCTGCAAACTAAACATATAATGCTACAAACTAAACATATCTAACATTGCCAAAATTTAGTAATACTAAAATATGCCAAAATTTATGAATACTAACTTTTGGTTTGGTTTATTTTCGTGACAAACTCAACCCTGAATTCCTTAACTTCACGTTGCGCCTAGGACTGACGGTTTTCGTTAACCGAGGGACTGCACTGCAGTCCCCATTACCGTTCACCGTTAACGGGCCCGCAATTCAATCGATTTGTTGGTCAGCCCATACTGTGCCATCTCAACGCAGCAGCTCAGTAGTCAACCAAATGTAACTAGTCTCTTCTTACCGGAATCCCCACACCTTCTCGCCACGGTCCGACGCGCAAGCGCGGCGGCGCTCGCTCTCGCGGTTCTCGGTGACGGCGGCCTCGTCCCACTCCCGCCCGGGGATGAACGGCACCCCGTTGCGTTGCCATCTCTAGTCGCGCATGACCACCCGCGCCGGCGCACCTCTCGCCGTCTTCCTCGTCTCGTCCCTCAAGTCGGCCGCCGCACGCCTCAGCCACGGCGAGCAGCTCCACGCGCTCGCTGCCAAGTCGGGCCTGCTCACCTCCAATCTTTTCGTCCGCAACTCCCTCCTCGCCTTCTACTCCCGCGTCGCCCCCAGCCTCGCCTACCACCTGTTCGATGAAATACCCCCGCTCCTCCGCGACGCCACCGCCCACAACATTCTCCTCTCCGCGCTCGCCCGCGCGGGCCGCCTCGAACGCGCGCAGTGCCTGCTCGCGGAGATGCCTCAGAGGGACGCGGTCTCGTTCACCACTGTCATTTCCGCCCTCTCGCGCTCCGGTCATCCTGAGCGCGCCCTGGCCGTCTTCCGCGATATGCTCACCGAGGCCGTGCAGCCCAACGAGGTTACACTTGCGGAAGTGCTCACGGCGATGGCCTGTGACCACGGGGCACCAGCACCAGTTGGTGCTGCCCATGGCGTTGCCGTGCGGCGTGGGCTTGATGGATTTGTCATCGTGGCCACCAACCTGGTCCATGCATATGGAGCAGTGTCACAGGTTCCTTCTGCCCGTTCCATATTCGAGCTAATGCCAGATAGAAACACTGTCACTTGGAATACAATGCTTAATTGCTATGTCAAGGCAGGAATGATTAACATGGCTGCTGAGGTGTTCGGTGTGATCCCAGAGAGGGATGAGGTCTCTTGGTTGACAATGATAGATGGATATATGTGTGCGGATTTCCTACTGCAGGCTCTCAGGACATATGTTGCGATGGTGGGTACGGTGGGCATAAGGGCCAATGAGGTGATACTTGTTGGTTTGGTCAAGGCATGTTCTCGACATTCCGCTGTCTCAGAAGGGCAACAACTCCACACAGTCATTCTAAAGAATGGTTTTGACGCTCATGCATTTGTACAGGCTACCCTGATCCATTATTACGGGTCTTGTGATTTTATTGACCATGCCCAGATGCAATTCAAATTGTCAGACAAGTCACACGTAGCTTCCTGGAATGCCCTTATGGCTAGCCTACTAAGAAGGAATCTAGTGCATGAAGCAAGGCAGCTGTTCGATGACATGCCTGAGAGGGACACCATTTCTTGGAGTACATTGATATCTGGGTATGTCCAGAGTGGGAATTCAAACATGGCTTTGCAGATATTCTGTTCGATGCTAGATGCTGGTGTTGAACCTAATGAGATCACTTTAGCAAGTGCTCTGTCTGCAGTAGCCAATTCTGGCACCTTGGGGCAAGCAAGATGGATCCATGACTACATAATCAGCAGATCAATCCAGCTTACTGATAAACTGAGCGCTGGACTGATTAACGTGTATGCAAAGTGTGGTAGCATTGCTGAAGCAGTTCAGCTATTTAACCATGTTAAGGATAAGTCAATTTCAGTGTCTCCTTGGAATTCTATCATCTGTAATTTAGCTATCCATGGCTATGTGAACATGTCGCTGGAATTGTTTTCACAGTTGCAAAGCACCACCCATATTAAACCCAACTCAATCACATACCTTGGTGTGTTAAATGCATGTTGTCATGCTGGGATGGTAGCTGAGGGGAAGCGCCAATTTGAGTCCATGAGGCAACAATATGGAATCCAACCAGAAATTAAGCACTATGGTTGCATGGTCGATCTTCTTTGTCGAGCTGGGTATTTGGAAGAAGCAGAACTGCTTATTAAGACGATGCCAATGAAAGCTGATGTGGTAGCCTGGGGTTGTATCCTTGCAGCTGCAAGGACTCAAGGAAATGTAGCCTTAGGAGAAAAGGCTGCAGAAGAATTGTCAAAGCTTGACCCAAGCCATGGAGCATCCAAAATAGCCTTGTCAAACCTCTATGCTGATGCTGGTCATTGGAGCAATGTGTCAGTGGTGAGGAAGGAACTCCAGAATGAGAATTTGGAAAGACTTACAGGAAGCAGTGGAATTCTACAATTATAGGTTTCACTCTTTTGGTGACAACTGCAAAACTGCTCTTATGTCGGTGAACTAATTGCGACAAGCAGTTTATTTTCGTGCTTGATCTGTTCTGTTAGCCAACACATACAATCATTATTTTGCTCTTTTAGACTAAACAATATGTGAACTAAAGAATCTCTAACATGACATGGCAACTATTCATATTGGAAAGTTGATTGGCTGTTAGACTGCCAAGAAGATTAGCTGGAAAAGTAGATTAGCATCACTTATGGAGGTCCCCTTGGCCTTTGCCATGTTGTCATTTGGATAATTGCATCTCCGAACTTCGATATTCAGTGTTATAAGTGCTTAATTGACATGTCTGATAATTAATAATCCTAGGTCAGTGATGCCAGCATTCAGTCTTCGGTACATGTTTAGACTCTTTTACTTTTTAAGGTAAATGAATGACATCCATGTTCAATCGTACAAACATTGTAGTAATATGGCCAGTTCTAAGTGAATCTTTCTAGCATTGATAGTAGTTATTTGGTGCAGTTTGTATGTGAATACAGGACTACAAATATTAAGTACCACACATATTTTGTGTGCGCACGGTTTTGTTTCAGTTGCAAGATGCATTTTGAATTTGTAAAAAATTGGCTCAAACAATCTCACTTGAAAAGTTTGGAGATGTAATGAGATGTTCTGGGTACACAAAAAGAAAAGTTAAATTTAGTGTTAAGAGTGTGATTACTTGTGTTGTACAATAGACATGTCAATCATCCTATGCTCTTAAATCTTAATCCATGCTTTTTTAGTCCATACACCTTTATATTATTTAAATATTTTGACGATCATGTTATCTTTTGTAGGTTTTAGAAATATAGCTCCCTCAAGGAACAATAATTCTTATAGACTTTGACACAGTAGGGCATATTTCGGTCTTCAGCTTCACATATGAACATTAGGTTACAAGAAACTCAATTGTCAGGTAATATCTCATTATATAATGCATTTGTTATCCAATCTTGTATATGCTTTCTTTTATTCTAATACAAAGTTTTGAACTTGCTGCTGGTGCTACTCAAAAGCAAATAAAATATCCAAACTATTGTCAACAAGACAGAGATGATATTTTCAATTATTATGGAATTTTTTGCAATTTGAAATCTTGGCCGGTAAGTGTTCCCTTACAACAGTCACTGTGTAACCTTTATTGTCAAATTGATATTGCAACTGTATATGTTCTTATCCTCTCCTTGTTCATATTTGTCGGACATCGTTTAAAATGTTTGTCATGGTATAATAACAAAAAATAAAAGTGATTCAGTCATAAATATTATGACTGAAAGCAATGCACTTATTTGCAGCCTAGTAAAAGAGTGGAGCTATAACAAGTAAGGGGAAATAGAAAAATGGAAGTTCATATGGGACACGTGATAGAGATGATTGGAATCCAGAATAAACAGAATTTAGAGGATGCTATATTTTGGATGTAATCTTAATATTATCATATATTAACATGGATTCACTCTGGAGGAGAAATTAAGACATCTCATTGGCACATTCATGTGTATAGGCAGGAAATTGAACTAAAATCATGCCCATACATGTGGATAGGCAGGGTTTTTGCCCATCCAAATCGTGGCCTTATGGAACTGAACAGTCCTGTAAAATGTCATATGCAAATCTTGACCTTGTGGAACTGGATGTCCTGTAAATTTTTAGATGTTACATTTCCAAGAAGAATATGTTCTGTAGACAAAAATTGTTTTTCTAATAACTAGCATTATGCCTGTGTGTTGCAACAGGAGGACCATTATGAAATTTTCTGAGATATTTAGAAATTATTTTGATGTATTTCTTATAGACATTTAATGTGTATGGATTTTTAGAAACAAAAACTATTTTGAATGAAAGTCTATAAGATCTTTTAGGCTGAATCTGGATGTTCCCATCCATCCCTCAAACCCACCTGACGCCCTCTTCCCCAGGGACCTAGCCCACCTTATTTTCCACCAGAATAAGTTCACTCAGGTCCCTCAATTTGTCATTGAGTCTGAAATTCATCCCTGAACCGAAATACAGATACTATGTGTCCCTCAACTCCCAAAACCATTTCAAATAGGGTTAAAATGAGGGGCTCTGGTGTGTGTGCGGCCAGCAGGGGTGAGGGGCCGGTTGGGAATTGAGCAGCAAAAAGTAGCTGCCCCAATGTTAATGCTGCAGTGCAAGGTGTACCTTCCCCACCTCTTTTCTCTGTAGCAACCTTCATTTGCTGAGAGCCAGGCACATTAAGCAGCACACATCCTGAAGCGCATCCAACGGTGCAGATTATGGGTGCAGATGCTCCAGAGTTCCAAACGGCATTTTCATATATTCTGGTCATCCCCTTGCAAACAATTGTGATATGTAATAGTCAATTTTTTTCAAGAATTCCTTTCCGATCTGAAATAATAAAATCATAAACATGGCTCACGCGCAGAGGATCTACCCAACCAGCAGGGCGCCATCAAAACCTGGTCTTCCACTACTATGGAAAGGAATCAACCGAGACCGAGCAAGGTGCCGAGCTTATCCTCCACGCCATCATGGTAATCCCTAGCTCTTGTAGCCTCTTCCTAGTGCCATAGAAGCTGGCGCCTCCAACAATTTTGGCGAATAGCGCCCATAGCCATGCAGACCCGAGCGTACATTGCTCCGTCGTCGAGCTCACCGTGGACATGCCATCCCAAAGCTCCTCTCACCCACCTTATTAGCAAAATCGAACCCCAAGACGCTCTGTACACTCCTCCATTCAATAAATTGGCCGGAGTCCCCGACTATCGCCAAAGCCCCGAACCTCCTTGAGCTCGGCCATGGCGTTGCCATGCCGCAACGCTCGCCCCTGCTCCGCCTTGCGCCGCCACCACAGGTGGAGGGCCGTCGGAACCCGTTCGCACCTCCCTTGGTCGTAGCCGAGCCATCCCCGGCCGAGTCCGCCTCGCACCAGCCAACGCTCATGCGTCTACTTCCCAGTCCAGAGGTTGAAGACGACCTCAGGCCGATTTTGACTAGAGTCAAGCACCTGTCATTTGGTCTACAAAATTATTCTTAAGAGAAATAATTTGGTAAATCAGATAAATAAACCTTAGACCCCACATGTCAGCCATGGTAGGTTGTGGATAATGTTTCGGAATAAAAATAAATCAATTAGGAACAGTACTGTTTCACAATTATTGGAATTACTTCAAATTTGAATATTGTTTTGACTATATCTCACTCATTTTAGCTCTGATTTGAGTGAAACTTGAACCTGAATTCATCTAAATTTAGGAGCTTTCCAATGGTATATAATTAATTATTTAATAAAATTTATTTTATAATTATAAAATAACTAATGTCAAATGGTTAGATAATGGCAAACCTAAAAATGTGCTAATAAATGAAAATTGTCATTGTACAGTAAACTAGGTAGGAGAATAATTGTCTTTAACATGTTGTGCCACTGTAGAAACCATGTAAATCAATTAGAAGTATTGTTTCGAATTAATTGAAGCTTAGGAAATACTAGTGCCATTTATTAATATATGTCCATATATAATTATACACATGACTTCCAAATTATATAAATGAATTTTAGCCTTATATTTTTGTCACTAAAAATATGAATACATATAGATCAGTCCTTAGATTGTTTGTGAGGAATAATAACAGAGCTATTATGAATGAACCACCAAATAAAGTTGATTTGTGCAATAGCATATAGTTGGATTGGTTAGCACCCATTAATTAACAAAACAGTAAATAGCTCATGCTCAGTAAATGATCCAATACTAGTATATTTTTACACTCACAGCTACTCTACATTCCATTTAAATTATATAGAAGAACAATAGCCTACCTTTTGCATTCCTCTGTCCCAAAAAGAGTCTAATCATAGGGATGTATCTGGACATACAGGTTGTCTAGATACATCTCTAGAATTAGATTTTTTTTTTTTTGGGACAGAGGAGTACATGATAAGCATGTATAGTAGAAAAATATTAATTCTAAATCTTGACCTCATATAATTGTAGTTCAACTGTGACTTAGGATTGTTTATTGTAAAATTATGCAATGAGATAATCCTTAACTACAATATTATGGACCACACGAATCTAACATACTGAGCATGGATATTTGTTGAATGTTAATTACAATTAGAAAAAATCTACCCATCATATGTCATGAAGAATTCTAGTAATAATGCTAGCGGAAGTTAACTAAACTGTGCCAACAAATAAATCAACCATATACGTTAGTCTTGCTAATGTTATGTGATTTCCAATCTCCATTAATAAGCCAATCCCCAGCCTGTCCATTTGAATCATTACATTTAGATTACTCTATGAGCCATTTCACGTCTCTAGTGCCAATCATTTTATGTAGAGTGGAGCCACTGTAGTGATAGTCCATCCATAGCCCAGTAAGTAGACTAAACCGCATGTTAACAAAATGTATGTATCATGTGTGTTGGTTAGCTCCTAAATAAGCCATCATGACAATAGAAGGATTAAGAAGTCTTAGCCCCTAAGCTCTCTTGCCCATAAGGTGCTTGCATGTTGAGTAATTTAGAGCCTAAGCTACCTCAATTTTCCCCCTTGCCTATATAAGCCGCTACCGCCATTTTGAGATCTCTTAGCACCATACAATCCATAAGCAAACGAGAGTAGTATGAGCAGCCCTAGGTATGACTCCAACATTTATATTTTGTTTGAGCATATTTGATTGTTGTTTGAATATTGGTTTTTATCGCCTATCATAGAATGTGTATCGGTTAGTCGTGAGGCAACTCATGCAACTTCCAGGAGGTGAAGGTGGATCAAGTATTATCAAGAATAAGGACTATCCTGAGCAGATAAGTCATCACCCCTCCCTTAAGCATGTTGATCCCAATTGCGAACTTACTTTGTTTACAAATAAAAATGTATGCAATGATGAATATCCTACTTGCTATTGTGACATGCATTTGACTATTGTTTACCTTATTCCTTTGTACCCATAATTACGTATGAGTCCCTAGTCACTTATGACAAATGCTTAGTAATGCTAATTTAGATTCATGCATTCTCATATTTATTAAATGCTATATGCTTGGGCAATTACCTTAGGGAAGGTCCAATTGTTCGTCCGGGTGTTTCCATTCTACATCCGTCTATCGACCCAAACAAGCCAAGCCCAACATCCCAGCCACGACTATTTCGTCCAACCACTCCAAAACTAAATAATAATGTGATGTAAGACCTACCATATAACCAAGTCAGTCCAGAACTCACCATAATTTTCATGGGCATTTCTTTTCTTCTCTTCAACGTCGTACATATGTGTGTGTGTTGATATCAAAAATTGACAGCCGATGATTTTTATTCGGTTATTTTATTTGGACGAGGTCTTGCCGAATGTTTTTATTCTTCTACTTAATTGAATTCGGTTGTTCAATGGTTAATCAGGTTATTATCAGAGAATATATGGGCAAGTGCTTCTCCTGAATGTGATGCATGCATGTATGGTTTAATTCCAGTTTTACTTTGCCTCCTGGCTCCTGGCGTAGCAGCAGTACATTTTCTATGGAAGATAAAGCTTGAGAACAAAATTAATATGCTGTGATGCTGGATGGAAGATCACATGATCAAGTTGGCAGCATAGAGGTGACGTACAGAGGCAAGGAAGTCGGAGGCGCTGTGCATATGCAACGTTTTCATTTCTATGTTAATTTTCATTGTTTTGGTTAATACCATGTGATCTCTAATCTAATTAGTGTGGGACCAAGCCAAAGACCAGGCACCCTATATATGGGTCTAGGCCGATTGGAAACAGACAATACACAATCAATCGATACAAAATTCCTGTCATATTTCCTTTTACTCGTTTTGCTTTCCTTTGTGTTGTTTTGTTCGATCCCCAATACGGCCGCCGGTGTCTACCGTCGTCGCAGTCCCTCCGGCCTGCTGGTGGCGACGCCGCCGCGGCAGAGCAGCCGCTGCTGCGTGCACGTCGGCTGGTAGCAGCAGCAGGAGACGTGTTGCTCCTGGCTTGCTGTGCGATAGGCTTGTTGTGCATCTGTGCCACAGCAAGGAAGCCATCTCCTACATTCCGTTACACGCACACACAATCGTACCAGGTGAAACTTCAGTGTTGCTTTTTCAGGACAGATCAAGTGTTGCATTCCTAGGGCAAATCTTGGTGGCAACACATTTTGGCGACTCCGCGACTCCGCTGGGGAATCGATCGAAAGAAAGAAACAAGAACTGGAGCGGCTGACATTATTGTGCTTTCAGAAGACGAGGCAAGGTATCGTCCAGAAGGAGGCTACACTGCCATCCGTCTATGTCGAACCTAAGGTAAAACCCACTGTAAGTGATCCACCGGTGACCCAAGAACAAATTGCTCTTATGATTGATCAATCAGTTAGTGCTGTGGTTTTTAATACTCATGAAGTATTTATTAAAAATATGGATCACGCATTAGATGCTCGTTTCAATGCTTGTGTTAAATCTGTTATTAGTGCATCAAATGGGAAGGACACACAACGACAAGTATCACATAATACTAATGCTTCAACTTCTAGCACTACTGGTAAATCAAAGCAAGGATTAGATGCATCGGCGATGTTTACAACACAACAAAATACGCCGATGACACAAATATATAGCCGAACTAATGGTGGGGGTTCGGCTGGTAGTGCAGGAGCATTGCCATTTCCCATGCAGCATGATGTTGGACAGGGGGGCACACCATTCACATTGCCACAGCCAAATAGTTCAGCTAGCTCGGCTCCGATTATCACTAATTCAAATTATGATAGCCGAGTAAATGGGAATTTAGAAAGTACATTTGTGCCTCCATATCCTACTGTGGCGTATAATATACCTCGTATTCCACCACAGGGTTCAGTCATTACATATGGTGCATTACCTAATAGTAATAATAGTTTTTTACAACACGCACCATATACACCGCCGACCCAAATGACACAATTTTTGCATGGTACACCACAGCCTAACATTTTTTAGCAGCAACCACAATTTGATGTGACCCCTAATCGGCCTATGGCCGAGCCACATGTGGTGCCGGAAACACTTAGAGAGCAATTGGTCAGTGTTTTTAGAGAAACATTTGATGTGGAACCTAAGAGTAGAGCACGCACTTATCGAAAACCATATCCTGATTTTTACGACACAGTGCCATACCCCCGTGGTTTTAGAGTGCCTGATTTCATTAAATTTACCAGGGATGCTGGTAGGACAACTTTAGAACACATTAGTCAGTTTACTGCACAGTGTGGTGAAGCTGGTCCTAGTGATGCTTTAAAATTGAGGCTATTTCCTTTATCATTGTCTAGTACTGCATTCGCATGGTTTACCGCTATTGCACCCAATTCTATTCATACATGGTCTTAGTTGGAGCAGAAATTTCATGAGTTCTTTTATACTGGAGATGTAGAATTGAGGTTAGCACACCTGACATCGGTCAAGCAAAAATATAATGAGCCTGTTGTTGATTATATTAGAAGATTTAGAGACACAAGAAACCGATGTTTTAGCCTAGCATTATCTGACAAGGACCTTGCTGAACTAGCACATTCTGGATTACTTCCACACTTTAAAGAAAAGTTAGAGGGTAAAATCATTTTAGATGTTAGTCAGGTATTACAACAAGCTCTGGCTCAAGAAAGCCGTGCTAAAGAGTCCAAGAGTTTTTAGAGGTCTAATGATAAATCTAGTCGCCCTGTCAATTTTGTAGACGATGATCTCATGTCATCGGATGATGAGAATGTGGATATGTGTGTAGCCGAATGGTCATGGGCATCGAAATCTAAACCATTTGTTTGCTCCGCTTTGAAGCCGGTGTCCCAAAAGAATTGGCAAGAAGAAATGAAATTTACTTTTGATGTTGCTAAGTGTGATAGAATTTTTGATTACCTATTACAAGAAAAACAAATCAAATTGCCTAATGGTCATGTCATTCCATCACCCGAGGAGCTTAAACGAAGTGCATACTGTAAATGGCATAATTCACACTCGCATGCTACTAATGATTGTAATGTTTTTCGTCGACAGGTTCAATCGGCCATCAATGAAGGACGATTGAGGTTTGCTGAGAGCCCAAAAATGCAACTAGACAGTAATCCCTTTCCTGTCAATGTGATTGATTTTGAGAATAGCAAGGTACTTGTTCGGCCATCTCAGGCCGAATCCACTAAAAATAAAGCTGTGATAGTTAGTGATGGTGGTATGCATACAGTGAAGACTCCTAGTTCTGGGTCTGGTCAGAGTAGTTTGCCAAGGATGATTAAACCTAGAAGCCCAGAAATTGGTCGGTGGAAGGTTAATGAGAGTAGGAACAAAGCTACAAAAAGGGTTGAAAAGCCGAAGCCCACATTCAAAGACCTTTCGGCAAAATATGAGGGAAGAGCCGGCAAAGGAGTTGCTAGCCGGCCAAATAATTTTAAAAGACCAAGATCACCTCCAATGCAAGGGTTTGAGGGTCCGGATCGTCGATGGGAGGATTTCCATGCATCACCGCCATATCCTCCTTTTGGGCCACCGATGCCGTTACCATGGGGTCCTCCTCCTGTTGGTTTTCCTCCTTGTCCACCATGGGGTTGGTGTGGTCCATGGGTGCCTCCTGCTCCAATGACTTATGAGCCATTCCATCCGATGCCCTATCAACCGTTCCACCCAGTGCCATATGGACCATTCCATCCAGTGCCATTTGAACCATTCCATCCAGGTTGGGAAGCACCAAGGAGGCCGGTGTTTGATAGGCTGTCATGGCCTAGGGATGACCGATCTAATCAAAGGAATCGGTCTTATGATGAGAAAAATGGTGGATTGGTGAATAAGGTGCATCGTGTGAAAGAAGGTGGCGATTCAGGAGGAAATTCGAGTGCAGTTTTGGCAGCAAAAAATGATCAGTCGACGAGCGGCAATTCACATGTGAGTAACAAAGTGATTAGTACTGCGGTTGCTACAGAACAGGCCCAGGTGAACAGTGCTCCGACTGCTACAGTACCAGCCCAGATGAACAGAACCGCAATCACAGCCGTGCCTGCCGAAATGAACAGTTCTTCCGCTGCAGTGCCAGCAGCTGATTGTGGTGGTGGTTCATGTGGAGAAAATGTGTCTATGCAGCCCGGCAAAGGTAAACAGCTCCAATGGTGCCCTCCAGATATTGGACACACTCGGAAGCGGAGGCTGCAAAGATTACGCGCACAAGAGTTGAGACAGTCTAAGGCTGAGAAGATGAGAGAAGAAATTTTCAATGATATCAATCCTGAACCCATGGTACGTGTTCGCAGGGAATGGAGGGCGAAACAAGTTGCAGCTTCAGTTCAAGAAAACAGTGATGAAGAGCATGATCTGTTAGAATGTGGTTCCCCGGTAATTAGAGATGGCTCTCCGCTTCCAGAAAGAATGGATATTAATATGGTTTTTACACTACCTTCTGAATTTAGGGTCGTCGATGAAGAGATTGCACAATTATGTCTTGCTCCTAAAGATGTTATTTTTGAAAAGCCTGATGAATCGAGCCGCCATATGAAACCATTGTATATCAAAGGGCATATTAATGGGAGGCCTATTTCTAGAATGTTGGTTGATGGTGGAGCTACAGTGAACTTAATGCCATATTCAGTTTTTAAGAAATTGGGCAGAGAGGACAGTGAGCTTCTAAAAGCTAATTTGACACTTAATGGATTCACGGGAGAGCCAACAGAAGCTAAGGACATTATTTCCATGGAGCTAACTATTGGGAGCAAAACTCTCCCTACTGCCTTCTTCGTCGCCGAGGTGCAAGGTAATTATAATGTTATGTTGGGTCGTGATTGGATACATGCAAACCATTGTGTTCCTTCTACCTTGCATCAAACTTTAATACAGTGGGTAGGTGATGATGTAGAGGTTGTTCATGCAGATACTTCGGCTTGCGTTGCTTTAGCCGATGCCTCAGTTGATTGGCAGTATGGTAATATTCAGTGTTTAACAGGCTTAGATCTTTCTGATTATGATTATGTTATTGTCACTAAGGATGGTTTTGTACCCGTGTCTATAAAGCCGGCTTCTGCAGCTCGGCTCAGTAGTGTGATGTTATAAATGAATAAAGAAAGCAATTTAGATTGGTTACAAAAACGTGCAGAGCAATATCGGTCAAATAAGAACGATATTTGGGAGGCTATTGATGATTTTGATGAAGTAGAAAAATTAGGACAAGGTTTTTCGTCGGCTGACCCTTTAGAGAAAGTTGATATAGGTGATGGCACCATTCCTAGACCGACATTTATAAATCAAAACATGACAGCCGATTATAAAGTTAAAGTAATTGGTTTACTTAGAGAGTATGTCGATTGTTTTGCATGGGAATATCATGAAATGCCTGGACTTAGCCGAGAGCTAGTAGAGCATCGGCTACCCATTAAATCTGGGTTTAGGCTTTATAAGCAACCACCTAGAAGATTTAATTCTAATATGTACGACTGGATCAAAGAAGAAATAGACCAATTATTAAAGGCGGGTTTTATTAGGCCGTGTAGGTATGCACAATGGATTTCCAATATTGTCCCTGTTGAAAAGAAAAATACTGGGAAATTGAGAGTGTGTATTGATTTTAGAGATTTAAATAAAGCCACCCCTAAAGATGAGTATCCTATGCCCATAGCTGACATGCTAATTAATGATGCATCGGGACATAGAGTGATTAGCTTTTTAGATGGTAATGCTGGTTATAATCAAATATTTATGGCCGAAGAAGATATGTCTAAAACGGCCTTTCGTTGTCCTAGTTTTGTCGGTTTATTTGAGTGGGTCGTTATGACATTTGGTTTAAAAAATGCCGGTGCCACTTACCAGAGAGCTATGAATTTAATCTTTCATGATTTACTTGGTGTTATATTAGAGATATACATTGATGACATAGTTGTTAAATCGGAATGTATGGATCACCATTTAGCCGATTTATGTTTAGCGTTTGAGAGGATGCGTCAGTATGGTTTAAAAATGAATCCACTTAAATGCGCCTTTGGTGTGTCGTCTAGCAAATTTCTAGGATTTATAGTACATGAGAGGGGCATAGAGATAGACCCTGCCAAGATAGAGGCTATTAGAAAAGTAACAGCGCCGCAGTGTAAGTTAGACATGCAAAAATTTTTAGGGAAGGTAAATTATTTGAGGAGGTTTATATCTAATTTGTCCGGCAAAGTTAATGCATTTACACCCATACTTCGGTTAAAAAAAGAGACCGAATTTGTTTGGGGGGCAGAACAGCAGTAAGCATTTGATGAAATTAAGAAGTATTTGTCTACTTCTCCGGTGCTAAGAGCCCCTAAGGCCGGGATACCATTTCGGCTATATATTGCTGCAGAAGAGGGTGTTATTGGTGCTGTTTTGACACAAGAAGTTGAGGGAAAAGAATATATTGTTACTTATTTGAGTCGTCGACTTCTGGGAGCTGAAACGAGGTATGTGTTCATTGAAAAATTATGCTTGTCCTTATATTATGCTTGCACCAAGCTAAGGCATTATTTACTATCTAGTACTTGTGTTGTGGCTTGTCAGACCGATGTCATAAAATATATGTTGCAAAAGCCGATTCTAAGTGGTAGAATCGGAAAATGGGCTTATGCTTTAGTAGAGTATGATTTGGCTTACGAATCTTTAAAATCCATGAAAGGCCAGATTGTTGTTGATTTTATTGTTGATCATAGGATTAATGATGATATGAAGAGGGTTAGTTACTCGTCTGTATGCCCATGGAAACTTTACTTTGATGGCTCAGCTTGTAGAGAGGAACAGGGTGTTGGTGTTGTTTTAATTTCACCAAGAGGCAATATTTTTGAGACATCGGTCCATTTAGAATATTTTTGCACCAATAATCAAGCCGAGTACGAAGCTCTTTTGCGAGGATTGCAAATTTTAGAATCCATGGATGTAAAGAATATAGAGGCGTATGGTGATTCGTTATTAGTTGTGCAACAAGTTTCTAGGAATTATCAATGCTTTGATGGATCACTGAATATGTATTTGGAGAAATGTTTGGAGATCATAGCAAATTTAGATGATTTTGTTATTAAACACATTTCTAGGGAAGAGAATGTTCTAGCTAATAATCTAGCGCAACAAGCATCCGGTTATCGAGTCAGTAGAGGTAAATTGTTTATGATTGAAAGACCGATGCTAGAGCATGTTAAGATTTATGTGGTCGAGCCTGATGATTGGAGAAAACCTTTAACCAGTTACCTGAGAACCCTAGTCAGACTGTAGAAAGAAAACTTCGGCGTCAAGCACTAAAATATATATTACTTAATGGAGATTTGTATCGCCGATCTGTAGATGGGTTGCTTTTAAAATGTCTAAGTTTAGACCAAAGTAAGGTTGCTATGGGTGAAGTACATGAAGGTATATGTGGTACACATCAGTCGGCTCATAAAATGAAATGGTTATTAAGGAGAGCTGGTTTTTATTGGCCGACTATGTTAGAAGATTGCTTTAGATATTATAAAGGGTGTGAGTCATGTCAAAAATTTGGTGATATCCAATTAGCGTCTGCTGCTATGTTACATCCTATTATTAAACCATGGCCGTTTCGTGGATGGGCTTTAGATTTCATCGGCCGGATAAATCCTTGTTCTTCCAAAGGTCATCGATTTGTTTTAGTAGCTACAGATTATTTTACAAAGTGGACAGAGGCTGTTCCTCTAAAAAATATGACCCATAAAGAAGTGATTGATTTTATTTTAGAGCATATTATTCATAGATTCGGCATACCACAAACCTTGACAACTGATCAAGGATCATCATTTATGTCACATCAAGTTCGTGAATTTACGGAATCTTTTAAAATTAAGTTGCTTTGTTCATCACCATACTATGCTCAGGCCAATGGACAGACCGAGTCAAGCAATAAAACTTTAATTAGGCTGATAAAAAAGAAAATAGAGGAACATCCTAAAAGATGGCACGAGGTTTTGTCTGAGGCACTGTGGGCTCATCGTATATCTAAGCATGGTGCAACAAAGGTAACACCATTTGAATTAGTATATGGGCAAGAGGCCATTTTGCATGTTGAGGTGAATCTGGACGCCCTTAGATTGGCCAGACAAAATAATTTGTCGGCAGTAGATTATCACAACTTAATGATGGACGGAATAGATGAGGTTAGTGATGAAAGATTGAAAGCTTTGAGAGAGATTGAGAAAGATAAATTGAGAGTAGCTAAAGCTTACAATAAAAAGGTGAAGGAAAAATCGTTTCAAATTGGAGATTTAGTGTGGAAAACAATTCTGCCTGTTGGTTCAAAAGATAATAAATTTGGGAAATGGTCTCCAAATTGGGAAGGGCCATATAGAATTGTAGAAATAGTCCCCGGGAATTCTTATTTTGTGCAAAGTCTACGAGGATATAAGTTGCCTAGAGCTTTTAATGGGAGATATTTAAAAAGGTACTATCCAAGTGTTTGGCAAGATGCTTAAAAAATGATAATACTACCGATGCATGGTTTTCATCGTGCTGAGAAGTGTGTAGTTTGTTTATCATCGTCCCGAGGAATATGTCGATTATGGCTAATTATAGTATGGCCGGTGTTTAATTATTTACCATCGTCCTGAGGAGTATGTTAATTATAGCTACTGCAATAATTATGTTGGGGCAGCTTAGTTTTATTTTTCGGACAATAAATTTTACCCAAAAATTGACAGCCGATGATTTTATTCTTCTACTTAATTGAATTCGGTTGTTCAATGGTTAATCAGGTTATTATCAGAGAATATATGGGTAAGTGCTGGTTTAATTCCAGTTTTACTTTGCCTCCTGGCTCCTGGCGTAGCAGCAGTACATTTTCTATGGAAGATAAAGCTTGAGAACAAAATTAATATGCTGTGATGCTGGATGGAAGATCACATGATCAAGTTGGCAGCATAGAGGTGACGTACAGAGGCAAGGAAGTCGGAGGCGCTGTGCATATGCAACGTTTTCATTTCTATGTTAATTTTCATTGTTTTGGTTAATACCATGTGATCTCTAATCTAATTAGTGTGGGACCAAGCCAAAGACGAGGCACCCTATATATGGGTCTAGGCCGATTGGAAACAGACAATACACAATCTAATCGATACAAAGACAGAACTTTTAAAGAAGGCAAAAACCATTGGTTACCCTCACAGAACTGGATCCCAGAGTATTTCATTGCATTGACCACCAATTTCACTTGAAGCTTACAGCATCAATTAGACGACTGCTAATAATACCGCAGCTAGAATTCATAACATTTTGCACTACGGCCTTGATCTCTAGACTGCTCCGCAAGCTATTAGCAGTGTATTCTCAACACATGCATTTACGCCTATAGTTAGTTCTGCACAGGTTGCATAAGTTTCCTCTCCTGCTCCACTGCACAATAACACCGGCTTCAGTTCATGTATAAATCTCAAATAAACTTCTGTTCATGTATAAATCTCAAATAAACTATCATTTGAACATGGATGTAAGTAATCATGCACAGAAAAATAATTGAACGACCTAGGAATATGATGTGCAGCTTTACTGTCTCTTCATTGGATAGCATGTTGATTTCTCTAGCCCTGAATTTGTATGCAACTTAAAGAGAAATGTTGAACAATATGATGTATGAGCTGCGACCAAATTTGCACAAGAATTTGACATACCACTGGTGCATGCTTTTCAATCTACGGCCTTGTCAGCAAATGAAGATACAAATTTTACCTCAGTTTCCGTTAGCACGCTTTTCAAACTACTAAACGGTGTATTACATGCAAAAACTTTCTATATAGAAGTTGCTCTTATCTACAATATTAGATTAATTAATTTTCTAAGTTTAAAATAATTAAAACTCAATTAGTTATGTGCTAATGGTTTTCTCGTTTTGCGTGCCCGTACTTAATCTTCATGTTCATCACTTGTGAACACTAGTGGTCACATTCTGGTTTAAACTTCAAGTTTATTTCCACCAAGTTTTATCGTATGCATGATTCCTTAGTCGCAAATTCATACATGACTATCTAAGCTAGGGACCATAGTACATTAAACCACTGATCGAAACAAGGGCATACAGTTCTCAGTTGCAAGAACAGAGGCAACAATGCTAAGGAGAAGAACAACTCCAAGTTATTGGTGTTCATAATGCAAAGTGATCAATTCATATCATGTTACCTTGACATCAAGGAAACACATGAATTTACTTAGTAAAGAAAGCTATTTGAATTTTACCTTGCATGGATTTCTCAAAGTTCTCCAGCTGAGACATGAATCCCTCATTAGGAGCCACTTGAGGTCGTTTGCTTCTAACTAGCGACAACGCGTTCTCAAGGCTCATTTGATGCTTCTTCATCAGATATGCAACAATAATCGTGACACTAGACATTCAGAGAAGTTAGTTAGTAGGACAAAAGAAAAAAAGCACCACACATCTGCTCTTAATGAATTCAAATATTCTTTACAAAATATCTATATATTAAGAAACACGTAATTAATCAAGGGTGATCTCACCTAGTGGAATGAAATTGAGAATTTATACACATTATGAAAACCATCATAAAACAGTCAAAGCTAACATCTATTAGAGTATTTTCCTTACGAGAAAATTCTTTATTTGTCCTTAAAAGTTGATCGCTTCCATCGTTTGCCCTCGTAAAATTGGCTCCTTCTAGTGCTCCGCATTCTTAACTTTTATCCTTTATTTGCCCTTTCCGTTAGTTCTCCGTCAACCTACTGTTAGGTGGGTGAAAAGATAGTTTTGCCCTTATCTTTTTATGCACAGCAGCTATTTTTATACTTTATTTTTGTTGCCAGGAGCAATTTTTATACTAAACTGATGGTTCATATATCTCTAATGAACCTAAATGTTATTTTAGTAAGAATAAAATACATCAGTGCTTACAAGTTGGACCATGGTATCATCTACGTCCTTAAACATGTATAATGAACATCTGCTTCCCTAATCTTGGTTTAATGTATCACTTGAGATCCAAACTATAGATGACGGAGCTCAGGCGCTGACGTGGCCATCCATGGTGGCGAGAATTTTGCATTTAGACCCCTTCACTACACCATGCCCGTGAGAAGGAAGGCAAAGAAACAGAAATTATGCGGGCTGGGATTGTTGGCGATAGGTCCCCATGGCCGATATAGGATAAAGTGATCCTGGCTGCGTGATTGTTACCATTAAGGCAGTGGATCACGGCAACAATAATGCTGCAACGGACTCATTGAATCGCCCTTTCCCTATCACGTCGTCTATTTCAGCCCTGGTGACCTTTGATCACTGACGATCGTCCCCACCCTAATCGTCGTCTCTTTGCCTCTTCTCCCACGGCTGCAGTGGGAGTCTATTTGGGGGCATACTATTGCAGAGGGACATAAATACATAACTCTTGACTCCGTGGATGACTACATTAGTGCCCGAGCTGTGTCATTTGCACTCTAGACCTTTAGTTATACATTAAACCAAGATTAGGGATCTAGATTTGCATTTTTGAGGTTCATGGAACTACATGACACCTCACTCCATGTTTAAGGACCAATAGTGTATTTTATACTTTGAGCAATGAAGTTTTATGCAAAATCCTTTACAATTAGTATATTGCATGAAATTAACTGCCATTGGCTGCTCATTAATTGTCAAGCCACAGCCAGAATTTGAATTTTAGAACTTAATTGTAGATTGATTTTCAATTTTTTTTTATTTTCAACCTTGGCTTCTGAACAGCTAGATTGAAGTATAAAAGTCTAGCCCTAAAATAACTTTTACTTGGTTCATTTGTCTTGGATGCATCTTAACCTTTACCGTGAAAATCTAATGTACTAATTTATTTATAATTAACCAGCAAGATTTTTTTTTACCAAAATCAACAAGCTTTTTTGGTACATAGAAAATGATACACAAGGTCAAAATCATGTTTTTCACTCATCTACTAATGGTATGTTGACGGAGGAAGGGAAAATAAAAGATAAAATTTGAGAATGAAGGAGAGGGAGCAGATTTCATGAGGGCAAATGAGAGAACTGATCAACTTTGAAGGGAAAATAAAACGAGTAGACACAAGCAGTTCATAAAATCCAGAAAGGACAATAAAATGGATCATAGCTCTTGTATGCATGTATGTCATATTGTCCTTGGTAGTGCATAAAGGTCTTCAGATATAATTTGTACTATAGTCCACATCACAAAGTACTTAGGTTGATTGGTACTGATTTGCCATAAAACATTACAAGTTGCACTTTCTGTTGAATGGCATACTATTATTGGACGGCATCCATCACTTGTACACTGCTAAACCCTTAGTCATGTTAGATAAACAGTGCATGCTTATTATTACTGCAATGCTGCGGGTGACATTGTTGCATCCAAGATACTAAATATCATCTTCTGAACCAACCCATGATGAAGAAGATAAAGTTTCTTAGCACTGTATGGAATACCACACTATCTAGCTCTATCTTATTTAACTTGTTTTAGAATTTGGGAAACTAAGGTTCCACTTGATCAAACAAACCAACTAGGTATTGCCTTGCCACTTAACTGAATGAGTACACACAAAAAAATATAAGTGATTAAGGCTGTTATTTCGCTATTCCTTGTTCCCAACCGGAATAGTACGCACGGAAAACGGAGCAGTCCATTAGCGCGTGATTAATTAAGTATTAGCTAGTTTTTTAACAAAATGGATTAATTTGATTTTTTTAAGCAACTTTTGTGCAACTCCACTTGATAAAAAAAACGAGAAGATATTTCGCTGCCACCAACTTCAATGTGTTCATACAAAAAATATATAATTACTTATACAAATAATTGGGTAAATAGCATTAAATTGCAATTATTTTGTCAATCATCACAGTTTGCAATGATATATGTCGTTATATCAGAAACTTTTGCAGGGCATTAAAAAACTGCAATACTAGTGCAGAATTTAATAAATAACTTGCAACTCCATGAATAGAAGGGTTGCCGGACATATCAAGCCCATCCATCATAACCACATGCTATACCACATTAAAGTCCAACCTGAGTTGGCCCTGTTTGAGACCAACTTGCTAAACGATCTCATTTCCAGTTGAGTTGCAGTTTTCTAATAGAACTAGCTAGATACCCATCAATTATAATTTATTTCAAATAAAAATGTTATAAATTTTAAACTTCGAATTTGTTATATAATACCAAGAAGAAAATCATCTGTAATTTGAAACAAACATCAATGTGCAAATAACATTATTAAAAGCTACATGCACAAGCATCCACTTGTCTGCAGAAGATCCACAAACTCAACAGGTGTAAGGGTGGCAGAGTCACCACCACCATTAGCTCCTTTTATGTAGAGACCATGTGCTATCCTTGCGGTTTTCAGAAAAGGAGGTATACCATCGCAATCTTGGGCAAGTGAACCATCACAAACTATAGGGTTTGGAAAATACCACCAACAATCAAAGAAATTTGGGGAATATATCTCTTGACTGTTAAAGGGTGTGAAATGACCAATTCACCCTCACTTTTCATTTAGAAGGGAGCAAACTATGGATCAATTATATATCCACACTAAAGCATTGAGGTGGAGCATGGCTGCATCCACAATTCATTGTTGATCTCATCTGCGACAAGATAGAAAATTGCAAGAACAGGAGAAGGTTGAACTGGATGTTAACAGTGGTCATCCATGGAAAAGCTAAGCCATAGTCCAATTTTTTTTTTGGACTTCATGATGGTATTGTGCAAATCTTCACATTTGTGATGATAACTTGCAACCTGCTACTATTATTATGATACCAACCAAATTTACTCTTTCTGAAATGTCTTGCGGAAGAAGTAATGAATTATTGTCGTGATGCCATTAATTTTTGAAAAATAGTTGCAGTTCTATGAAATTTAATCAATATAATATTGTTATTAAATAGAAGCAAACACTTTAAATGGTTGAAACCAAACGACTGTTGGGAAAAAGAATGATTACCTTCTTGACCGTCCAGCAAAGCAATGAACCAGAACATTGCCACCAGAGCTGATAGATTCATCAATGAAACTAAAGCATTCATCAAAATGCTTTGCCAAATCAATGTCTGGGCTGTCAAGTACTGTATATTGGTAAACAAATAATGATTTAGGAGTGCTTGGGAATTTGGACAAGGGCAACAGAAAAAAGAGGGTATAATCACATCAATAGGTATTTGAAACACCATGACACAGTCAAGAAGTTTAAGTGCTCCATGCTTATTTCATTTCTCTTGACATTACAGTTTTCCAGATTGAGTGATAATCTAACATGTCTGGTAAACTTACAACACAACAGATGAAAAGTACATAATTTAGAAGTAAATGCAGCACATTTCTTAAACTTGCACACAGAGTTCAAATAGGTATGTGAACTTAAGCGATGCGCATTATTACTCCTAAATATGCATACTTCGGTTCTAACTTAGTTCTTACTGGCAATAGATGATTGAATGGCTCATTGCTTCACTTACATGACTTCCTCCCTCCATCCCTCCTCACCCTCTCTACTCTCTCTGCATCCTGCCACAACCCTAATTTAGTTGTTGCATCCCCAAACAACTTCCTCAAAACATAGCTGGCTAGCTGGTAAGATTGAACCACCATGACAAAGTGACCTCAGGCACTGGGATACGTTAGAATTGGGGCCCTCAACACTCAACAGGCAAAGTAGAGGATACGTGTGAAGAAGAAAAATTAATCCAGAAACACACTTATCAGTCACTGTGGTTCGCCAGAGAGAAAACAATCATGGCTTTATATTGTAGGAGAAAAAGGAAGTAAAATGAGTGTGGCAGAAGAGATGGAAAACAAGGAGTAAATAGTGCTTCAAAAGTGTGGGGACAGAAAAAAGCATATGGGAGGGCTTTCTCACAGGTGAGCTTTGCTGCTGGTGTAGCTGGAGGAGGAGAAAAGGGAAGTGTGGGGATAGAAACTAGCATGGGAGGGCTTTCTCACAGATGAGCTTTGCTGCGGGTGAGACTGGAGAAAAATGGCACATCAAAGCCACATGAGCGCCTGCTAGGCTGCCATTCCATGATCAATTGAATTTAAGCTGACCCACATATGCAGCTGTAGGAATATAAATATGCATCTCTCAAGTACATAGACCTGTTTGAACCAAACATACTTTTTTTTTTCTTGAAAACGCAGGACTGCACTTCATTTCATTATGAAGAGAAACTGTAATGTGGTTATGGTGCAAGCAACACATTCTAAATTTATATGGTGCAAGCAACTTAATCTGATAAACCAAGCTGGCATGTGGTTACCTTCAATCTTCTTGTAGTTAAATTCAGCTGCAAAGGCTGGATTTAATGATCTGGCAACAATCAAGATATGGGTTATGTTCAAGCTCTTTAAAGCATCCTTGTTCATTGCTGCCCCAACAGATCCCAAGTATAGCCCCTACGAATATGTCAAAGATATTCTATCAAATAGATGGAAAAAGCTTTACCATAGTAATGCATTCTTCAAGCAAAAATACGGTAAAAGAAGCAATATGTTGCTACTTGATTGGCTTTTCCTTGCATTCAATTGAATTGGAGAGCTCGTATTAGCACAATCGAGTTTCCCAATTTCCAATTAATCAGTGTAGTTTCTCCATTCGCGACACGGACAATCAACGGTGCTAAAGTTAGGATAAACGGTGAATCAATCATCCTGTCCTTCATCGCGAGAATAAAAAAAAAGAAAGGCAGTCTGTTTTTTTTCTTTCCATCCAGTTCCCCAGATTTGCACCAGTTAACAAGAAATCCACTCAAATAGCGCCCGAAAGAACTCAACCTCCTTGGATTATCCGGTGTCAGATCGATCAGCCGAAACCTGACCTCCGACATCCCGCGGACGCATCCATCACCGAATCGGCAGCACGAGAACAAACGGATTGATCACATCAAGGAGGAAGAAGAACATGGGCGGGGAAAGAGGAAGGAACCTGGACGATGGGGCACGGGATGTTGTCGGCCTTCCGGTAGCGTGCGGCGCAGAAGCCCTGCATCAGTGCCATGAGCACCCTGGCCTGCTGCTGCTCGTAGTCGTCGTCCTGCTCCCGCCCGTCCCTCTCCGAGCGCCCCGCCTCCGGCATCGACATCGTCGTCCCTCCCTCTTCTTCCTCGATGATTGTTGGGGGGTGGGGAGATGTGCCTGACCGAATAGGGGAAGTGGCGAGGAGAGAAGCGAGGACACCGGCTGATCACTCGCGGAGCACTGCCAAGGAATACATGGTGGGCAGTGGCCCCCGAAATATTCAACTATTTGCCACTCACACGAAAAGAATTTTTTTCCCAAAATCCACTCTACTTTATTTTTATTTCTATTTGTCATCCGGTCTCACTACAACTCGCGCGTGTCATTATTTTTCCTTTTCTCACTGGCGTAGATTTTCAATTTCATCCAGTCCAATGTGAAGGATAAGATGAAAAGACCAAAATGCCTTTCGGCTCACTTATAAGTCTCTTCCCTCCTCATTCGATCCGATCGAGTTGAGAAGAGCAAAGCACATGCAAAAAAGGGAGAAAAGGCCACCAAGATAAAGCAAGATAAAGGAAGGGAGGGAGAAAAGTAGAGAGCTATTAGGGTTGGCATTGTCTAAAGCTTGTCGCCTCACCCTCGATACTTGAGCCTGCCGCTGCCCTGCTTTTTGCTGCCACCACAACCAAGGCATATTGTTGTTGTTGTTGTTGATCTTCGGCTTTGTCACTTGACTGTGGAGTCGTGTTCCATGACGATGATGTAGACAAAACTAGCGGCATGCATATATTGCCTCTGTCTCGAAAAACTCAACTTAGGTGGAGATTTGACCCATCCTAGTACACATGTCCAGATTTATTGTATTAGAATGGGTCACATTTCCATCTAGGTTGAGTTTTTGGGATGGAGGGACTATATGTTTGTATGATGTAGGGGAGGCGGCGTCACGCCCAGAAATTTAGCCTAAATTTCCGGACTATTTTGTGTATTAAATCCCTATCCAGGACAAGCTAGGGTACACAAAATGACAAATTAATACACATATCCAAATGTAAATAAAGCGTAAATACTTACAGAAGAGGCACTTATTCCTCACACCGAAAAAAAGCCGCAGCGGCGGAAAAAAGGCGATCCTAGCGGGGCTTCAGCTCCACTCCACAGGCAAAACTCAACTGGGGTCAAAGCCTTGGTCCTCTAATTTCATCTTCAGCTCAGAAGCACTACACAAAGGGGAAAATAGCAAGGCTGAGTACAACCACCGTACTCAGCAAGCCACACCAATGATGCAGACGTGCAAAGGGATCCAAGGATGGTTCGTGGCTATTTGCATAAAGGCAGTTGCAAAACATTTATAGTTGAAAACGGTAAAACAGTTGATTAATTAAGGTAATATTAAATCTCCACTGATCAACGCTATACCACGTTGAACAGGCCTAACCATCCCACCTGAACTAACCAGTTCATTAAGCCAATTTATTAAGGGTGAGACTAATCACGGTGAATCTAGTTGACCGCCCATAACCGTAGGCATAACTATTCGAATAGTTTTACTCTAATCAGATGTGTACAACTGTACCCACAAGACACAGCCCCACGACATGTTTCTGTGCGCTGTCATGCCACCATGGCATACCAGAAAGAGGCCATGACAGGGCCATTCGCATAACCTCCTCTAACCAAGCGCACCACACCTCAGGTTTCGCCCCCACTCCTCAACAGGCAGCGGGCAGCCCCCTCTCGTGCCTAGGTGAATTCGGAAGCAGCAAAGGCCGTCACAGGTCCCACTCTATCACGCCACTCTTGCCTGGATGCGTCAGCTAGAGGAAAGCTACAATACAAGTACAGCCGTTGCCTACGCTGGCTTGTGGTAACTATGATAGGTTCTTACAGGTCATCCTGTGAAATGGTCCTTAATTGCCATGGCGCGACAAGTAAAACCATGCACCTGCAGCAATAGTTATTAGAACCAGACCGGACTGGCGGTCTGACCAAAAAAACCGGAACCAGGGCGTCGGCCAGTCCAGTCCAGCTAAAAGATTGGCGAGCAAACGGACCGGTGAAAACCAATTGAACCAGCCGATTTTCTGCAGAACCGGACAAAAACCGAAGTTGGTTCGACCGGTCACGTTGAGGAGCAGAAGCTGCAGCGTTGGGAAAATATGAAAAGGTTTTCTACAGAACCGGACAAAAATTGGAGTTGGTTCAGCCGGTCACGTGGAGAAACAGAAGCTGCATTTTTGGGAAAATATGAAATGGTTTTCTGCAGAACCGGACAAAAACCAGAGTTGGTTCGACTGGTCACGTGGAGGAGCAGAAGCTGCAGCGTTGGGAAAATATGAAAAAGGAAAATATGAAATGGTTTTCTGCAGAACCGGACAAAAACCGAAGTTGGTTCGACCGGTCACGTTGAGTTGAAGAAGCTGCAGCGTTGGGAAAATATGAAAAGGTTTTCTGCAGAACCGGACAAAAATTAGAGTTGGTTCAGCCGGTTACGTGGAGGAGCAGAAGCTGCATTGTTGGGAAAATACGAAAAAGGAAAATATGAAATGGTTTTCTGCAGAACCGGAGTTGGTTCATATTTTCCCAACGGGAAAATACGAAAAAGCTGCTGTTCATACATATTTTCCCGTTGGGAAAATATGAAAAAGCTGCTGGATTAAGGGATCAAACCTACACCCTCCTCGTTCCCAAGGAGGGTTTCAACCACCAGGCTATGCCACATGTTGTGACTAGTGTTATAACACATATCTATTTGAACCGTATTAAACCGGCGGTTTGACCGGTTGAACCAATAAACCAGTGAACCGAGTGCCCTAACGGTTCAATCACAGGTCCGGTCTTAATAACTATGCCCACAGCCCACCATTCAGTTGCACTTTAGTTGGATAATTACGACCAATGAAACATGGTCGGGTGTCTAGAGCACGCAACTCGTCATGATACTAAATGTCTAATTAGCAAGACATGCAATTTTATTTGCAAATAATAAAACATTTGTAAATTAGGCTCAAAATGCTCAAGGGGAATGCATGACTTGCCTTGCTTCTTCAAAATAATCTTCTGAACTCTTTCCTCGCGATTGCGATCTTCCGAAACGGCGGAATCAACGCGCTGGAACGCAAAATGAGGAAAAACTCTAACAAAAACCTAGTAAAAAGTACATAAAAAGTTAAAAAATGTGTAGAGCTTAATTTTAGATGAATTTTGCAAGTTGAATGGCCCAATTTGGAGTTCATATGAATTAGTTATGAATTTTAAAAGTTTTAAGCCATTTAAATGAATTTCTTAGAATTTAAACCAAATTTATTGCGCAATTAATATTAGTTATGGCGAGAGCCGAGGGGAAGGGGTGGCGCCGACAAGCGGCCCCCACCCGTCAGTGACTCAAGGTGGCGGGCGCACGGTGGACCGGGTCCACGCGTGGAATAGGCGCGGGCGCACCACGTGGCAGCCACGTGGTGGCCAGGGCAGCCTAGCCGGGAGGAGGTGGCGCCCACGTGGCGCCACGACGGTACCGACCGGGGCAGCACTGGCAAGCAACGTGGACGGCCCAGATTCATCGAGGTGAATCGAGCGGCCACGGGTGAGCAGGAGAGGCGTCAGCCGGCCGACCGACCGGGAGGCGGCGACCACCAGCGTGGCGGCAGGCGCGGGAGGCAGTAGAGGGAAGCGAGGAGGGAAAGAGGGGGGCAGCGGAGCTCACCGAGCGCCCGATGGCAGCGAGCAGCAGCACAGGGAGGTCCCACAGTGGATATGGCGGCGGCGCCCGTGGGACGACGGTGTAAATGACGCTCCTGTTGGTGGACGGAGGCGACTGGGTGGCGGCCAGGGAAGCGCGTGATGCGGCGAGGCCAGCGATGCGGGCGGCGCGTCGCAGCGGTGGCCGTGGTGATGGCAAACGGCGGCTAGAGGCAGTGGAGGCGGCAGTGTTTCGGGTTTGCTTTAGGGTGGTGGTTTCGGCGGCGGGTTGGGGGAAAAGAGGCAACAGCCGGGCTTGCCCTTGCGGCGGGGCAGCCGGTGGTGCTAGCGGCGTGGCGCGGCGGTGGCTAGGGCGCAGGTGGTTGTCGGGCGGGGGCGGCGGATGGCAGTGGCGGCTCGGTTTGGCAGTGGAAGCAGCGTTTCGGTGGTGGTGGGGGAAAATAGAGCGAAGGTCGGGGTGCGAAGAAGCCGGCGAAGAAGCTGGCTAGAGAGCTCCGGCAAGCGGCGGCGCACGGACTCGCCGTGAAGAGAGCGGGAGGGGGCGCGAGGAGCTTGGGGAGGAGGGGAAACATACGAGGGGAGCGCGGGGAGAGATTTTATAGCTTCGGATGCGGAGATCGTGGCCGATCGGGGCGGAATCAACCGGCAACGGCCGGCAAAGTGGGGGTGCTGACGTGGAGGAGGTGGGCTCGATTCCGTCGCCGAAAATTGGGGAAAATAGGGAAGGAGGTGGAGGACGTGGGGCAGACCGCGTCCACGCCGTTTGGACTCGGGAATGGGGGCGAGTGGTGGCGGATTTAGCGGCGGAATGGGGCGGCATGGCGGCGGTTGGGACCGGCCGGAGGTAGGGGATGACCCCGATAGGTGGGCCCCACCTGTTGATGGCTCGGGGAGAGGAGGGAGGAGGGAGAAAAAATAGACTTGGGAGACAGGGGCCAAGGTAGAGAGGTCGGCCCGAAAGGAAGGAGGGAAGGAAGGAGGACGGGATGAGCCACGAGGGAGGAAAAGCAGGACTTTGGGCCGGAAGAGGCCCAAAGTGAAAAGTGAAGGAGGGGATTTTTAATTGGTTTTCCATTTAATTTAATTGATTAATTGAACTTTGTGATTTTAAATTACTTCTTGAGCTCCGAAAATTCACGAGAAATTCCAAAGAGTACATTAGGGCACAGAGAATATTACAAAAATGTTTCCGGCCATGATTTTTAAAGGAAATTTTAATTTCCTCAATAATTCACTTGATTAAATTGCTTTAACTTTTAATATAATTTCTGGAATACATTATTTAATGATTTTTAATCCCAATCGAAAATTGGGGCGTTACAGGCGGAGTGGTGGTGCAGCGTCGCCGAGAGGACGCATTAGCGTCAATTAAGTGGCTGAGGCTCATGTCGTTGTCCGTCTCTCTCTCTCCCTCTCCCTCTTGCTGTTTGCTTTGTTAAATGTCAGGGAGTGGAAGGGAGAACATTTTCAATGGGGCCAAACCCCAATGACATTTAGGTCTTTTTGCCACATCTTCCATATCAAATAGTGGTGAAAACAAAAAAAGTAACATCATATGGAC